TTATTTAATGTAATATGATTATAACATACTATATTAAATAAAATAAATACTATATAAGTATAGTATATGAGTAAATGATTAAAGATTGAGAACAAGACAGCACAAGAGGCAATTACTTACTTCAATGGGACGAACTTAGAAGAGTGGGTAGCACCGACACCGGGTCTTCCGTGTGTGACTGGTTTGTAAGTGATTGAGAACTCACCGAGGTAGTGTCCGAGCATTTCTGGTTTAATTTCGACGGTGGTGAATGTCTTTCCGTTGTAGACGCCGATGACTGATCCGATCATGTTTGGCAAAATGATTTTGTTTCTGCATTGAGTCTTGACGGTCTTTGGTTTTTCGTCAGCTTTAGTGGCCTTCTTGATCTTCAACAATTTCTTAACAAGGCGTTCGTGTTTCAACTTTGGGGAGCGGGCATACGATCTTCTGCATCGGGCATCTAACATTTTCACAAAGTCGGGCTCTGGCATGGCAGTGATCTCTTCGAGGGATTTGCCCTGGAACTCAAACTTCTTGAAGGTACGCTTCTGTCTCTGGTTGTCAGACATCGCCTCTAGTGACAATCAAGTTCACTTGACCAGCTACAACCCTATCCCATCGGTTACTAGTCGGGTTTAATTATTTTACTATTTTTATAGTTCTTTCTCCTTTTTTCTTTGTTTATTTTTATCGGTATATTCATTTTTTAAAATCGTTTTTTTTGGTATAATTCTCAATAATTTTCCGTTATAATGTAAATTTTTTTATGATTTTTAATTGTTCATTAGTATTAATTAATAAACTATATATGGTACTATACTGAAAATACTCTAATTATAATTATTAATATAGATAATAATAGTACCCATTAAATAAAGCTAAATATACTATAAATTATACTATTAAAACAATAAAAATTGAATACACTTAAATAAAAAATATGGTTTTTTATAATTAAAAACTCTCTTATACAATAAAACCTCCCAAGAGCGGGCATTTTAAGCCAATCAAACTTTAATTACCGCTCGATAGAGAACTCTATTTTTAGTTTCAGTCCAAAAAATGCCCACTCTTGAGAGAACTCGCTGTTAAGAGATATATACAATCTTTCATTTATAATGAAAAAATAGAGAATAGTATTTTTACTATTTTTTTAGTAAAAAAATTACTTCGATATTCTATAGTAGACCCACAACACCAATTGACCAAGTAATTACCAGTGACCAAATAATTATCAAAAGGGTGTATTTCCCGTTATTTACCTTGGAAATAATGGATTAAAAAAGTGAAAAAAAAGGTACACCAAATAATGGTAAGAAACTTAAATCTATTTTTTTAATAGTTCTTAATGAAAGTTTTAAAACTATTTATTTTACTTCTTACACTTGTTTGGTCTCTGTCTACAGTAAAACCTCCCAAGAGCGGTACCTCTTAACAGCGGGTTCTCTCAAGAGCGGGCATTTTTTAGACTAAAACTAAAAATAGAGTTCTCTATCGAGCGGTAATTAAAGTTTGATTCGCTAAAAATGCCCGCTCTTGAGAGAACAAAATTCCCACACCCTCCCGCTCTTGGGAGGTTTTACTGTATTTTTTTGTCAACTAAAAAATATTTTTTACTGTATATTTCAATCCATTTTTTTCATCACCTTTTTTCAATCGACTTTTTTGAAAAACAATAGAAGTTCACAAGTCCCGACCTACAAGTCGAAAATTGAATCGTCGAAATCTTCCAAATTAGACACAGGTGCTTTAATAAACACTTCTTGTTGAGTATCATTATTAGTATTTTGTTGAATTATTTGTGGTATGACTTGAGCACTTTGTTTTGTATTAGTATTACTATTACACACTTTGATATCTGGTTTTATAATTTTCATAGGAGTTGACGCAACAGAATTTTCACACGTCGTTTTAGTTTGTGTTGACTCTCTCACGGAGTTAAAAGTGAGTGGTTCCAAAATTGTTTGTTTGTGATTCGTATCGAGTTGCCTGACATAGTCAGTGTCATACAACGAGTTCCCAAGGTAATTCCCAAAGAGTCGAAGTGCTCTTTTCCGCGCATCCGAGACCGCCTCTTTCTTCGCTAATTCAATCGCAGCGCCTTTCCTCGGCATCTCCGCCATCCCAACTCCAACATCTTCATGATAGGACCCATTCTTTAATGTCACACGTACTACAGCTGTCACGCCGACTTTGTACTTCCCTTTCTCAGCATCAACGTAGTCAACATTCAAATTGGTAATACAACTACTCCACCCATCAAAGCCAAATAACGCATTACTTAATTCTACAACCCGCCATGACTCAAGATATGTCAGTTTCATGTTCGAAGGGCCGGGACGAACACTCACGTAATTGACGGGAACCTTCTGTTCTAAAATTTGTTGAATTTGCTCGGGATTAGTAAAACTCTGAGTGCCAAATAAAGATCCTTCCATCGTTCCGTTCAAAACCAATCTTGAATAATTGAGATGGTAGTTTTAATAATTGTTTTTTGTTGAGTTTATTTTGTCAAATTAGCATTTTTTGGGGTGTTTTAAAGTTAACAAAAACCTCTTTCTTTTTTTATCTCTTTTTGAAAACTATAATTTGATTGTTATTTTATAACATTTGTATGGTTTTGTTTTGTAAACCTCAATTATTGGTAATGTTATTTGTTTTGTTATTAAATCACCAAAAGAAAAGTTTTAAAAATGTTTATTTCACATACATAACATGTAAATAATAAATATATTATTAAAAATAATATAAAAAATAGTAATTACCAATAACATTAGAAAGTACTATAAATTTAAATAACTCAATCACAATGGGCAAATGGCAATGGTGGAACGACAAAGAGTGGGTAGATTATAGTGAAAAAGTGAGCGACCTTATTACCGAAGAGAAGAAGAAAGATGCCACGCTATATCGAGCAGACGTTGACAAAGAGCGTTATGTCTCTGTCGATACTCTTCAGAACATATATCAAACATTTCACAAAGACCTTCCCGACGATATCAAAGGGGTTTGTGCACTTCAGCATCGCAAGGATGATGCCAATAAAGTTCGTTTAGTTCGCGAGGTACAAGACTTTCCCATCTTCAAAGAGAGTATTTTCTTCTATGGTGAGAAGGAATACAACAAGAGTATAACACGCCTTACCGCGGAGGTGAATGGGGCTCAAATAGCAGATGATTATACTTCAGCAGATTACATCGTCCTCCCGTACACTGCCAAATTTACAGAGAACATGTCGAAGATCGTCGATTATTGTAAAGCATCAAAAAAGGAGTTATATGATACCGATTGGGTTGATGAATCCGTTCAAAACGGATTCATATCCAACACTACTATTACACAGAAGTGGGTCGACTTAGTCGATGAATGGAAAAATGACCAAGCAACTTTTGTCCTTAAACATGGCTTCGATCCGCTCGAGCAAATCTCAGAGGAACCAGATTCTGAGAAGGATGAGGGATCTGGATCTGAAAATGATGAAACCTCAAACTCCGAAGGCAATGGAAATGGCTTTTTTGGGGTACCCCCATTTGTTGCTTCACCGAAACCTGATGTAAAGATTATTCCTGTGAAAAACAACATCTACGAAGGCAAATTGACATACACGACATTGAAAGAGGAATACGTCTTTCAAATGTACTTTGATGGTGATGAGAATGATAAAGTGAGTGGGATGATCACATGGATTTCATTGCACAAGTGTCAGACTCGATTTGAAGGAATAAGAAAAGACAATACATTGAATATTAAAGAAACTAAATTCTTGAGAGGATCAAGCTTTTCGGAGTTGGGAGAGTACAATTTGGTTGTTAAAAGCGCTAATATTATAGAAGGGTCATTGGCAGGCGACTTGACTGCTAAGATTAAAGTCACTAAAGTGGTACCAACTAAAAGATGCCCCGTTCTCGACTCAATGGACTTCTTTAAAAATACTACAAAAGCAAAGTTTGAGATGCAAATGAACTTGAGTGGAGAAGTTACTAAAGATGGAAATGGGTATGTCTTTGTAGTCCAAAGAGGTGATAAAGAAGTCAGAATTCCTCTTAAAAAAGACGGAGAAGATATTGCAATTAATTTGTGTGCCGCGCATGATATTATCAAGGAATGTCCAAATTCTGAAATGTATGAAACAGAAAAGGGAATTGAAGCTTTGCTACTGGAAGAAGAGAATGTCAAGACAACCATTCAGTTCAATGAAAATTGATTTTTTTAATATTATTTTTGTGTACTATAACATTTGGTATTTGATTGATTTATTAATATCAATTGCTTTGTTAATTTATTAATTAATATATATTAATATTATGTAGTTTATAGTATTAATGCTAATAGTTCTTGAATGTAATAGAATTGAGTTAATAATTTAATTATTAAAAATCATATTTTTAAATGAATTAATTATAATATTTTTATGGTTTTTTATAGTTGTATTTTACTATAACCACACAAGTTCATGTTTAATAAAAGAAATTATTTGTTTGGTTTTTTAAAACATTTGTTCTTCTCAAGAAAAATTTGTTCCAGTTCTCATAAAATATAGTACCCCTTAAAGACTTCACAAATGTGACAAACTCTTTTACCATAAACAATGATTTGTCCAAATTACTTCGCATTTTTGATTCAACATTATTAAATTGGTTGAAGTTAAAATAGTTTCTATCTTTAACAAATAAATTCTAAAACTAATTGAACTATTTAAATATAATTAAATATACTTGACTGATAAAATATATTTTTATTACTAGTTTTTTCTGTTTATTAGAATAATCCACTTATTACCAAAATTCTATATCCGACTGGTCACTTTTTGTTGTGTTAAATGATAATATATTAATTAATAAAACAACTATACTTAATTTTTTTTCTTTTTCTTTTTTTATTATATCTTTTAATGAGTCTTTTTTTAACTATTTTTTTAACATTTGTGTAGTAAAAAACTACAAGAGTGACTAACTCAAACAAATCAATCAAAATAACCTTTTAACAATCTTGTTCTATAACGGCTTTTCATTTTGTAAAAAGACTTAAACAACAAACACTTAAAACCAACAACGTCAAAATCAATGAAATTCTGAATATTTTGAAAAAAAAAGAATCTATAATAAACAAACCATTTGTTAATAGTATGCAATCACAAAGAAACAATGAGAAACATGTTGAGGCCAATAAGTAAATAGCCGCAAATAAAACCAAACCACCTTTTCTTAAATTCTATATCATGTATTATAATTATTTAATTATAAACATATAGTAAAAATCATCATGTCAATACAGAAGAAGAAGAATGCCTATAGAAGAATAAAGACCTGAAGAAAAAAGTAAAGACAAAGCAATATTGAGAAAATGAAAGGTGAGATCGGGGGCAGCGAAACGATGGAATTGAGGGACATTAAAGCGCAAAAAGCACTGGAAATTTTATCAAAAAATGCTGAAAGAGCAGCACAAACAAACGGAGATTAATCTTCTCCAGAACAAAACAAAGTACAGGCTTGTCTACGATGCATGCGTTATATGCTTCATATACATTGTAACTGTACATCACATGTATGACTCGGACTACACTTTAACAAGGATGACACGTTTTTGGACTTATTTTGGAATGTGGAGCTGTGGCTTGTATTTCGCAATCAACTTCCTCTTTGAACTTTCAAACTTTCTCTTCTACGAGACAGCTGCAAAGCCAAAATTGTACAAGAAGTTGATTTCGGTGTCACATTTTATTAAGGAGTCATTTCAGCAGGCAGCCGTGGCTATTGCTTTGAGTGTCTCGATGATGTTCTGGATTCTCTACTTCAACTCGCCTTCGGCTGTTTTTAGAATCACTGATGAGTGGCAACCAACGTACTTTGAGGAGTTGTACTACACTCATTTCGAACACACTCTGCCATTGCTTTTCTTGATTATCGACTGTGTTGTTTTCAAACAAGGAAACACCAGAGTAAAGGACGTGTATTATATTAGTAAAATGACGCCATTCTTTGCGTTTGGGCTGTACACTTCGATTGTTGTCTATGATTATTATTATTATGACATTAAACCGTATCCATTTATGGATTCATGGAATGCCTTTGGCATTGCCGGGTTTATCACTTCGTTTGTCATTCTAATTGGAACGGTGTTGAACCCAACGGCATATCTCCTCAGACAGAATTTGAATACTTTCTCTAAGTTCTTATTCTCTTTGTTTTAATTTTAATTTACCGATTCTGTGATTTATTAATTTAACTGTATTATTATATACTATCGAATATAGTATAGGTGTATCTGATATATCATTCGATGGATTCAATTGAAGAGAATTTACAATTAGTCATTCCGCTTCCCAAAGACACGCCAAAGGACATTGCCGAGGAAGTTGCGAAGCGAGTTATTGCGGACATATACACCAATTCGCCTCGTTACACGTGTTATGTCGAGGGTTCGACGTGTCGAGTGAAGTGTGAATTTATTGAAAAAGAGTGACCTTTTCCTTTGAAATATATTTAAATAACAAACGCAAAGAAGAAAATGACTTAACGTCTTAAAGTTTCAGTAGTTTGATCTTCTCTTCCTTTCGTTCCGCGACGTTCTTGACTGTCTGTTGGTAGTAAGCCTGTAGATTTGGAAGGTCTGTCTGTGAGATATTTTCCTTAATAACGCCCGCAAAGTTATTTATGAACTCAGCGTCGACCTCAGGATTTTCTCTGACATAGTGAACGATGTAGACGTTAAGGATATCGATCAGAAGTTCAATGTTTTGCTCCGGGACCATACAGATGCCTGCTTCTTTAACTGCTTTATGTAACGCGACCACCGCCAATTTCGCCTGTTTAGCTTTTTCATTGAAGAGTGCGCTTGAGACTTTCACAAAGAGTTTACCTCTCAAGTAAGGGTCTGAGACTTGTGAGACGAACTTGAGGCACCCCGCGACATAAATTTCATTTCCGTTCTTGTCGACGTGACACGACGCAAGTGCCTGTACAATTTCGTTCAACGCGACGTTCTTGTCCAACTCCTTTTCATCTTCAAACACAATAAGTGCGTATTCGAAGAAGTAACTGGTGTTCTCATATCCCTTCAACGATCCAACTCCAGCAGCTTCTAAACTGCACTTAATAGCAATCAATGGAGAAAGTGCTTTAATTTTCTTAATGATGACTAAGACCTCGCGGAACATTTTATTATCGTTTTCAACGACATTAATAGCTCGTAAATACATCGAGACAATAGTCGGCAAGATCATTAACGCGCGAGTATTTCCAGAGTACTGTGCTGCAAATTTGGCTTCTTTAATAATCTCAAAGAAGCTCCCCTTTTCGACAACTGACGTCAAAATCACTGTTTTGAACAAATTGGCATCTACAGTCAGTTCCTCTTGACTCAATGGCACCATATCTTGGGAATCCTTATATAACGTTTCAACACATCGAATGGCCAAAACCATCTCTTCCCCACTCTTAAACTTCTCGTCTTGTTTCCCAATGACGTCGCCAATAAATCGATGCGCTTCATGGCGCAAGGTATATGGCAAAATGTTCAATAACTCGGGATAGACCTTCAACTGCATCGCTTCAAGCACTTTGTACTTCTGCATTTCAAGCTTCAAGACGTCATTCAAGCACTTTGCTGTGTTAATGTCGATGGTCTGGATATTCGTCAAGTAGTTGTAAATGATCGAGTTGATGATGTTCATGTTCTTGTAGCTTTCTTCCTCAGTATGCCAAACCATGACCAACCGACTGAGAGACAGATAAATGTTTAAGAAGTCTTCCGAGCTCAAGTTCTGCGTTTTAACGATCTGTGTGATGTGTGTCGAGAAGATCTGGAAGATGTCCAATTTCCTTTCCGTTTGTGGATTTAACTTCAAGTGCGTCATTATTCGGTCCATTAAACTACATAAGACTCTACGAATACCAACATTGGCAACAACTCCACCAAGGGAATGTAATAACAAGTGTAATGTTTCCAATTGATATTCAGCAGGGAACGCTTGAATTAAAGCGTCGTATAAATAGTCTTGTGTGACTTTATCGCGAGACAACAAGACTTGTTCCAAAAATCGGGGAAGAATATTAGTCGAATACAACTCTATGGAAACCCCTTCTAAATTCGACAAATAAGTCAAGTTCTTCCCAACAAACTGACACAATTGCATTTGTTCGTCAATTTGTTCTTCACTCGTTCGTGGGCCTTGTGTCAGTCTCACTAACAATCTGCACATCTCCGAGAAATTATTCAGTAGAAATTCAATTGAATTCGTCAAATTTCCATCGGCCGGGTTTTCCGTAGTGAAGTCGGGGAGGACCGTTTTGATACAGTCGAGAATATACCCTCTGAAAAAGATCCCTTTAATCGGGTGTTGGATTCCTCTCGACATCTCTATCATGTCTTTCATAAACACAACAACGGATATCTTCTTTGTTTTGACGGCTGAAGAGCCTACAATGCACATCAGATACAATCGAGACACTACCGTAGGGAACCCTTGGACTTCCTCATATAAGTCTAAAAGATCATTTCCGGAAGCGACATAGTCTGACCGGAGATACATATCCAATACACTCAAACATTGTTGGAGAAGTAAATACAAGTCATAATACAGTCGTGGTGACAAATTCGACGTGTTCATTTGCTCACAGATTTTAAAGGCATTTTCTACAGCACTCGTGTAATTCTTGTGATCCATATCTCGCCTTAATAAATCTGTGTGTAGATTCATCGTCGTCTGACGTTGACTTAATTCAGCCTTTGGTTCGATAACGCCTTTTTTACCTTTTGCTTGCATTTTGTTCTTTTTGAAGTTCCTTTCTAAGTTCTTTCTAAAGAATTTTCTTTGCAAAACATTTTTAAGTTGTGAAGTGATTTCTCTCGGTTCTGATTGGATGAAATTTCTATTGTTTTTTTAATTAGTTAGTATAGAACTTAAATCTATTTTTTTAATACTTTTTTATTTTTTTTTCGAGATATTTTGTTATTCTTTTTGGTATTGTTATAAACTACTAATTTAATTTTTTTATTAATAAGAAACCAAAAACAAAATTTTAGTTCTTTATAAAAAAAAGTTCTTTATTTTTTGAAAAAATGCATTTGCCGGGACTCGAACCCGGATCTCCACCTTGGAAGGGTGGAATTCTGCCCTTAGACCACAAATGCTTCTTATAAACATATAAAAATTGTTATTACTAATTCAAAAAATTCGTTATTTTGTGTTTTGAGTGTTTCAACCTATTTATACACAAAATACGAGAATAAAACTATTGGAAACAGTAATTTAGCATCACTCTAAAATTTTGATCCTCCGAAAATTGTCCTTTGTGTGTGAGGAGATCAAACTCCTTATTCACCGCATTAGCTCTCAAGTGTGTTGCTTTGTTTTTCTTGTATGGATATACCACAAATATTTTGCACGACGGGAAGAGTGACTTGATCAACTGCACATCCTTTGAAATTGAGTCTGTAGTTCCTTCGACAACCATTATGACCACTTTTGGTGTTATACTCATTCCATAGCCTTCCCAAAACTCGTAGACTTCTAATGGTTCCAAGCACCTTTTAATTTGTTCGACTTTCTTGTCTGTTTTATCTGCTCCTGTTTGGAAGACAAAAACGTTACTGTTGCTCTCTTCTGTTTGTTTAACATTTTTTTGTTCATCTCCGCTTTCGGTATCATTTGTTGTCACATTTTTTGAACTATTCACTTTTTGAAGTATTTTCGCATCTCCTTCGAACGGAGCAGTTGAGTTGGTATATCTCACGCTCATCTGTGTTTTAATCACTTCTTGTTTCATGATACTCATCCCCTTTTGGATGTTTGTTATCCGCTTCTTTTGCGTTTCCAACTCCGTTTCGATCTTCTCGTGTTTACAAATATTTTCTATCGCGTCGCTGTTTTTAAAGCGCGACACGTTACTCATCACGTTCCTCCTCATCAGCCCTTCGTCCGCTTTTAATAACTCGAGAAACAAGTTTTGTGAGTCTTCACAGAGAAATTGGAGCTCTGCAGGTGACGTTTGTGTGAATGCCTTTAGTGCTCTGTCTATTTCTCTCTGTGGGACTTCATAGTATTGCTGAACAAAGCCCAAAAAGTGTTTGACGGACTCATTCGTTAGTGCCGCATTTTTTGCGCAAAAGACGGTGGCCTGTGTTTTCGACGAAATTTTGAAGACAAGGTGGATTAAAAGGGTGTTTATATACTCCGCTGTATTATTCATTTACTTATCAATTTTGAAGTTAAAAACGAAGAAAAAGTAAAAATAAGTCACATCAAAAGTAAAAAAAATTCTTTTGATTATCAAACTCTCAAAAACACTTCATTTGAATTTTTTTCTCATTTCGCGGTCTGACAAATTGTCACACCCACAAGAACTAAAATAACACCACACAGACACTCTTTTTGTCATTCACTTTTTACTATACTTTTATTAATTTATTACTATAATCGTTACTATAACAAACTGATGGAAAGCTTACTCTCCCCAAGTAAATACGCTGTTAAGAACGTAAATATGAAAGTCAGGGCGTTCGACAGGGGCACGATAAGTGAGAAGTCGTTACTTCCCAAAAGCACAGAAAAAAGTATAGAGCCGCTTTGATTGATCAAAAATGGGATGACAAATCCATAGCTCAAAACTAGAGTTTTAATATCGGTTACTATATTTTGAACTAGAGTTGCTCCTTCTGGATGCTCGAAGTGAATCCCCTGTTTCATCAAAGGGTTCGTACATCCCCAAAGCATTCCGACCAAAACGATACCAACGATCTCTTTGTGCCCTTGAAGAAACATCACACAAGTCAAAAGCAAAACAATTGCACCACATCCAAAACACACAAAAAGTCGTTCTTTCTCCATTGAAACGCTCTCTTATTTATTAGTTACTTTATAGATTTATTTACTATTTAAAAACTATTAATAATAATATTTCATTTCTTTGGTTTTGGTGCTTTTTTCACTGCTTTCTTCTTCTTTTTTGGTTCACTCTCGGAGTCTTCTGAAGATTCTTCGCTTGAGTCGATATGGTCTATACCTTTAATCAAATCATCTTGGTCATCCTGTTCACTTTCCGTGTCGTTTTTGTCTTCATTTTCCCACTTGAAATTGTCACAAACAAGACCATTTTTGAAAACATTTTTTGCACTGTGGATTACTACTTCTTCAATTCGATTATTTATTTGTGGTTGCCGCAAACAAATAATTGCTTGTTTTAAATCTTTGAATGTCACGCTTTTTGAAACTTCCCCAAGTTTGAATGATTTAAAATTACAACTTTCAAGTTCGACAGTAGTGAAGTTGAAACACGAGAAATCAAGTTCAAGACCCATGTTATTGATGTATTTCAATATCAGTTTTCCCCCACGGTCAATTAACATTTCAAATGTGATATTCACAGTCACACTTTCATTAATCTTTAAGCCAATAACATTATAAAAAGTACTTGAAAAATACGATAGAAACTCGATTCTATTCAGTTCAAAGTAATTTTGTTCTTGCCTGTTATTTAATAACTTCCCATTATAACTCGATTTTCTCATATCAAATACAGACATTTCATCAATATTCAAATCTCCTTGAATAAAACTGTCATGAATGATCAAAGTTTTCAAGTTCACTTTATCGCCAAACACTTTTATTCGACACTTTTGAAGACAAAGCCGTTTTGTGTACTTTGGGATGGAAAAGTCGTTGACAACAAGTTTTAAAGTGATGTCAGTGACCCACTTAAGTACCCCAAGACTTAATTCTTTCTTTGTTTGTCGTGTTCCTTTGAAACTTACTTTATGCACTTCATTGTTAATAATATAATCAATCATTTCTTGTAATGTGAGTGGTTCTTTCGCTCCAACATTATTATTAAGTTTTGTGAATGTCGGTAAACGCTTTTTGAAGGAAACATTATAGTCTTCTTTTTGGACGTTCAAGTAATAATCCTTTCCAGCGTCAAGTGTCCCCAAATATACATGAACGTTTCTTTGTAAGTGTTCTAATATTGAATAGTCCATAGTTTGCATATAATGAAATGCATACTTATCATATATATTTCGTGATACTATAGTGTATTGGCACGTAGGGTTGTTATGTGTTTTTAAAAGGTTTAAACACCCTGCCACATCATAAAAATTGGATATATATATTGTCATCTTTTCAATTGTTTTCATCGACATCAAAACAGAGACAACTGGAGGAAGTTGAACTACCAGAAACGATTTGGAGATTCGGGCAATATCTATTGACACTATTTTTAGATTGGTGTATAACAAGTAATTCTTTGTGACTCGGGTGTAAAGGGTCTTTGTCACTCGCATTTTCCGCACTTTCCCAGCAAACCAATTTGTTGAAAAGATTCCGAAGTTACAGCATTCGTCCAACTCCCCAATTTCCATCAACGGAATTTCATTTGCGAATTGTTTTTTTGGGGGGTTGTAGAGTTTGGAGCAGTAATACGTCTGCAGTTTTGGGAAGATTTTGATAATCTTATTGAAGCTATAAAATTGTGTTAATTTGAAAGGGTTGATAAAGACTGTAGCAATTGCCATTGAACACTTTTTACAGACTTCCTCGAAGCATGAGATGTCCACTAGTGTTGGCAAATAGAACAAAACGTTTTTAAGAAAGACGCACTCGAGTTGTACTTTGCTCATGGTATTACAATGATCTTAAATATTTTCAATTTATTTATTAATTCATTATTAGTGATATTCCTCAATGTTTTTTTATAAATAATAATATTAATAATATTAAAAAACACTTTTTATTAATTAAAACGAACTTCAAACGAATTTTTTATAAAAATTTTTTAATGAATTTTTTAATTCAATTAAAAAGATTTAAAAGATGTTTTATCCGTCGACAACACAAAACGTCTTTCCAATCCCACAAACATCGATTGGCGCACTAGTTGTCTACTGCGCCATATTTGTCGTGCTTGTCCTTCAATTTATATATACTTTAATTAAGTCCACACAACGATATGGGTATATTAGACTGACAATAACACGGGCTACATACTTTGCACTTTCTATGATATACATCGTTGGTTTGTTTCAAAGAGTTTAAATGGACTAAGAAGTAATGGTAAGGTATCATCTTCGCGTTTTCATTGGAATGGAACACTCCACGACAATCGTGTTTTCTATATGTCATTGAACGAATAAATGAATCCATGGGGTGTTACTTGTTTATATCTGGATTCACTGTTTGGTTACTTGACTATTACGACTTTCGATCGGGAGGGTATGGAGCTGTTATGCGTCATAGATTTCTCATTCCAGTAGTGATGTATTCGATAAACACTGTTCTGTTAATTTCCGTGTTTATTCAAGTCTTGTATTATATCACCCTTCCTGGAGAGTGTGATCCAACAATACCAAGTCGAAGTGCTGTTTATCTATCAATTCCATTGTGTATTACTGCTCGTTTGTTGTGTAATTAGTTCTATTATATTAATTGTTTATAATATATTATAATATAAAATATAATAAAAGTTAAGTCACAACTAGAGGAAATGGCTTTATTAATTGGGTTCAGTGGAGTCGGAGTCTGGGTGATATACTCCAACAGAAATTTGAAAGTGAGTTTTAAGAATGATACCCTATACTTCGTGTATTTCATTCGATTTGGAATTGCACTTGTGTTACATTTCATTGTGATGCTCATCAAATTCATATTCTCATTTTTGCTCCTGTCTGGGTATAACGGGACGATTTTCTTCATTTTTAACTACGTTGTGAGTGACGCTCTCAACTTCTTTGCTCTTTGTTTGTTCTTTAAAGAGATAGTAATTATATTAAATAGAAATAAACTAATGACTAGTCTTACTCACTACTTACACACTCTCTTCAGAGTATTTTGGTACTAAAAGAATCAAATCAGACTCAGAAGAACTCCTCACACATGAAAGATAAATTGTTTTAGAAAATGTTATTAATATAACATATCAATAACATTTTATTTATTTATTGTTTTATTAGTTATTGTTTTTTCTTGGTCTAAAATTACCAATGGGTGTAAAAACTTATACAATAACTATTAAATTATTAATTATAAACAATTTATAATGAAAAACATTGTAATAAATATTTTTTTTTTTGATCGAATACTTCCAAAATATTTTTCGGTTTTTAATTTACCCATAAATTATAATTTAATAATAAATTTTCAAAATTGAAAATTTCAAAATCATCTGAAAATAATTAATTGGATTTTATTAATAAACAAATAGTTTTTTACACATTATTATTCTTTAATCATAAAAACAAATTATTTTTTTTATTTTTAATGAATATAGTTATTAAAACTACAAATTAATTAATAAAAAACGAGACAAAGCACTTTTGAGATGTTGTTTTTGAAATATTCGACATACAAATCTTGATAAATAGAGTTAAAAATAAATATATTGAGATCTTTTCAATTTCGCATAATTCTATTTACTTAACCACACAAATATCAAATTAAAGTTTAATACATTATTTATTATAATTTTACTATTATTAATAACAAATTAACCATCTATCAATAGTGCTCTTTATAATTATAAAACAATACTAAAAATGTTAATAATTAGTTATTATATGCCTAACAATTATAAATTTTTCTATTATTGCAGAAAATACACACTCTTTTGAATTGGTATATTTTGAGATGAGTCAACTTAAAATATAATGTTTGCCCTCTTCTTGGTTATAGTCCTCACTTCCGCAGAACGAATTGATATTGCCTATACAATGGAAACGCATGCAAATAATTTCAAGTCTACTGGGTGTGGTAATGTTCCAGAACAGGTCTGCAGAGCTTTTAAAATGCAGAAATTGTTCCGTCCAGTTGGATTGGTTGGTGGTGGAGCGACTTGCCGCCTTTGTGAGAACTTTGTTGACAAAGCTTTAGAGTATGTGACCAATGGTGACAACGTCCAACAAGTTAATGAAAAGATTTTGACCTTCTGTGGTGACAAGTTGAATAGAGAATTACCTCAGCATTATTGCTTTGTAATAGCTCAAGAGATATACATTAAAGTGCTCAACGCTTATTCAAATGGTCAACCAATTGACAAGACTCTTTGCACTAAGATGAATCTTTGTTAAATGTTATAGTTAGTTATAATATATATTATAGTATTTATTATAGTTTAAATAGTATACTTTATATGGTAGAATATAGTTTTATTTTATATATAAAAATAAACTATATAATTAATATATTATATTATATATATTAATCTATACCAATACCTCAAAAAACACCAGTAACTAAAATATCCGACAAGTTAGTTCATATTTTCATACATTCCAGTGAGCTTAGCAACACCGCCACGTTTAGGTTGAGGCGATGAAACCTTCTTTTCTGTTGTTGATTTCTTCTCTTGTCCATTCCACTGTGATATTTTTGAAGTTGTATTTCCACGCTTTGGTGCCTCTGCTTTCACCACTTTCTCTGACGCACTTTTCTTCTCCTTTTTTACTTCGCCACTTCCTCCAAAAACACTGAGAGACTCTGTTGCGACATGAGAAATTGACTTTTTAGGAAGAGTGGGTTTTTCTTTCTTCACTTTAGGTGGTGAAGATGTTGCAGTGACTGTTTTTGCTTTCTCCTTTTTTGGCTCATCTGCTCGTTCGACTTTCACTTTTTTGACTTCCGTCTTTTCTTTGGGCTTTTCTTTTTCAGTTTCAGGTAGTTTCCCGTGTTTAGTTGTTGGGACTGAAGGCGCCGTTTTTGTAGTTGGGACGGCTGGTGCTGGTTTCGTTGTATCGAAGTTGATATCGACTTTGACTGATTGGAAATTTGTTGGTTCCGAAATGACGAATTCCTCCGAGTTAACATCCGAGTCGCACTTTTTCATATAATTTTCGACGCCGACCGTTTGTTTAATTTCTCTCTTCCATTTTTTCAGTAACAGTGACTTTTGGAGTGTTTTACTATTGAACTGGGCTTGATAGTCTTTGTCTGTTCTTTGCACGCAGGGGATGTTCTTAGTTTTACAGTAGAAGCATCTATGGTCTGGACTTTCCTTATCACCAACAATCATTTTAAAGCAGGCCAAGCATCTATAACACTTCGAGTGTATTGGTTTTGAGTCATAAATAGAACAGGGCATATTAGCTAATATGTCTTGACCACATAAAAAGCAGATCTTTTGTTCTTGTGTAGGTGATGGACATAAATCAGTTAATACTTTCCAATGACAAGTTGCTGTAGAAGCGTCTGGTGTAGTTGCTAGACTATTCAGTAATAATGGACACTTTGTTATTAAAGACTGACTGTTAATTAACATGTCTTCTCTGTCTTCTATGAACATATTCAGCATCTGTGACTGCTGGAACTCCGCCATAAACGTCTCATTGTCTGCGTCGAGCTTCTTCATGAACTTAGTCCAATTGAATTTGATTCTTTTAAAGCGTGGATTGTCTTTGTCTTTCTCTTCCATTTTAACATCTTTAAAATACTTCTGATAATTCAAAAAGAGCCGTTGGTAAAATTTCAAGACTTGTGCGCGGACTAAAGCGTCGTCCCCAGACTTCTCTTCTACACTAATAAGACTTGCCAAGATATTTCTAAGCCCAACAGAAGTGTCAGATATCAACACTATAGGGAAGTCGGGTTTATTCAAATACGTTCCTTTGTCAATGTCTATCACATACACATCTGAAATGTCTCCACACTCTTTCTGGACATTTGGGTACAAATTCTTGAGACATCCAATGATGAATGGCCTGTTTTGTTATTTGTTGTACACACTTACAATGTAAAGTCACATTCAAAAGAGTAGAAAACAAACATAGGAGCGGCACAATATGTCACCAAACTTTTTGGTAACAAAGGAATCAGTACATGTTGCCACACAAATGGGAACATTAAAGTCATGAATGCCGAAATCGTATTAGAAAGTGTCATCAAATACTCAGACACAAATAGAAATTTCCTTTCTAATAACATTTGACTTAAAATATCAATAACTTCTGAGGCACCAAATTTCTCAAGAAGTGTACGCGTCGAAACTGCTTTAGTATTTGCAAAGGTGTCTGAAATAGGTCTTGTCAATGAGTAATTAATCAGTCGTTTCCCTGGGTCCATATTATGGATCGTTTCATTTGGAAATGGAAATGGCGTTTCAAGCATGGACTGTGCAAATTGTTCGACGGCCGTAGGGTTCGGCAAATACTTTTCGAACAATTTAATAACGTTTTCATAGAATTCGAAGGACCCACTTCTCATAAGTTTTTATTACTATACAATTATAATATAATTATTATAAGTAATATTTTGAATGAAATTGAAACAAACTTTTGAGCGACTAAACATAAGCAGTCGGATTTATTCGATACGACATGTCTTCGACAATAACAATACTTTCTTAACCCATCCATCCCAGTTAAAATAAACCCAAATATTTCATATCGTTCTTTTTGTGTTCCTACAAGAGCTTCTGGATAACAAAATTCAAAAATGACATTGTCTTGGTCGGAAACGTCTCGTGGGGCTTTAAAGTCCACAACATTTTTTGCTTTCTCTGCTGGTGGTGAGTGGAGTGAAACATAAATTCTTTCAACACGACTAACAACTAAAACAAACTATTTGATCGAGAAAAGTGGATGACATAATCTAACACCTTACTCGTGTTCATTGCAAAATTTATCAGTTCACATCTTCAAATTGAACGCCTCACTCTAGAGTTTTGGCTTTCAATCTTTTGATTAGCGTTGGGTTCTATTTCTGTACTTGAATTCCATCATCGACTTCCAAAAAAGGGTTTGACTTCTATTGTTTATCCCAAGTTGACTTCTTTTTTATTGCTTTGCTCATCACCTCCCAAATGTACTTCCTTTCGTAAAAAAATGGATTTATAGTATTTAATATTTATTTACTGTATTATAGTATTTGATACATAATTTGTGTACTTCTTTTTATGTAAAAGCTTGTTTGGATTTGCTAGAAGAAGTGGTGACTAGTTTTGAGAGGAAAAATTAATAATATTTTGAATAATAAAGATTGTAAAAAGTCTTTTTCTTTTGACTCGCTTTTGCGACGCATTGATTGATTCATTCGATTGAATTATATCATTTTATTAATTAAGTATTGTTTTATCATAGTTTCATCTAAATCAGTAGAATTGTTTCTTAAATATGGAAAGTGTAAAACAAATTCAAAACAAACTAAGAAAATTCACTTTTTTTATTGGTTGTTTTAACTATAAATAACTATAAACAACAGTTTTTTGGTTTTTTTTAACATTTTTTTTATTCAATAGTTCAAAAATATAGTCTTATTATTGTTATTTTATAGTTTCCATTTATTACATTTTTTGTTGTTATATTTTTATATTTATTTGATTGATCGAAAAAAAAACATATGTAATAGTTTATATTATTATACTAAAAGATAAAAAACCACAAAAAAATTACATAAATGATTTGATTTTTCTCGTTTTACAACAAGGCTTTTTTCGAAACTAGAAAATAGTTAATTTATTATATAATAAAAATAAACTATTAAATATAAATTGGTTTTAAGTGATTTTTTATTTAACTATATTAGTTTGATAAAAAAGCAATTTAAAATTAGTATGAAATAACTAAATTATAATACATTTTTTTAGAATGAAATAACAACAAAAATACAAAACAAATGTTTAATATTTCAATTAAAAAAAATGGTTTATAATTTTTAAAAATAATTAAATTCAATTTATTAAATAAGTGTTAAACAAAATACAAGTGGTCTAAAAATTAGATTATCTTGAGTTTATTAAAAATATTTTGTGTTTTAACTTTATTATGTGAATAAAATAATATCATAAGCCAAAAAGGAAAAATTATAAAAAAATTTTATATATTTCTGTAAATTGTTTTTCAAATGAATTGAAAAACAATTGAATTATTTTAAAAGTTAACAAGAACCTTAAATGTGTTAAATTAATAAAACGAAGAAAAGGAAACTCAGCAAAAACAACGAACTTTTTGCTGAAGAGGTGTACATCTCAGATTGTGTTTGGATAAGGTGGATACACTTATTCATTTCATTCTTGTCTGATATTTTTTGTTTTTCACAGTCACCAAAATAAACCATGTTGTCTTCTACCCAATACTTTCTACCTTCTTTACACTCTGACAATAACAAAACTTCAGTTGGTTTTCCCTCAACCAAATCACATTTATTCCTTTCGTAATAGTACAAGACAGCAGCATATTCTGGCAAAGAAGTTAATGTGTATGTGGGGTTCGACTGTTCGCTTTCCCTCAATATTCTGCACCCTCCAGTACTTCCATAATACTTTCCATTTTCATACTTATCAAAGTAGAACGTGTTCGTAAGGTAACATGCCCCTTCCTCATAAATCTTTAACTTGTTTGGGTTGTGATCTGGTGTGTACGCTTGCCACTTTTTAGAAGCGGAGAGTACTGCAAATATAATGACTAGTAATTCCAACATTTTGCAATTTGTAATTCTTCTTTGTATTTTTTCATGTTATGTTCGATATAATTTTTTTCTAATAAATAAAGCTAAAGTAATTAGCAAAAATAAATACTATTCAAAATCCTAAAAATATATTTTCAAAACTTTTCAAAGAGGAATCAATTTATATTTTTAAATAAATAAATAAAAGTTGATAATAAAAATATTAACTAATAATATATAGTTTCTAAAGTTAAATAAAACAAAAAATAGTTGATTTTGTTTTTTTTATTATTAATAACAAAATATGATAATAATATAACTATTGTACACTAAATCCATTTCGTCAATTTTAATGGAAGACTTTATTATATTATAATTCGAATGTTTCCTCTATAATAACATTTAAACAAATAAAAAAAAGTTAAACTATTATGTTCAAATCAATAGTATTCAAAACTATACTTAAACTAAACATAAAATTCAATCAATATTTCCTATTCAAGTCGATATCAGCCCACTCTCTATCTCTTGACGAATACCTTGTATCATATCTGTCATCCCTTCTGTCCCTGTCCCAACTTCTATCTCTATCTCTTTCCCTTGATCTGCTCCTATCTCTCACTCTTATATCAAGTGAATAGACTTCTTCCTTCTTTTCTTTTTGCTCTCCTAAAGGCATTAAAGCGGGTTTTGGGACGTATTGACTTGCAGCACTGATGGGGGCACTCGGTGCTTGCAGCGTCGAGTTCCCCGGAGCCGCCGCGATGTTACTCATTGGGTTTTCCTTGACCTCATCTTTGTAGTTCCGTTGTTCTTGTTCGTTAAACAGCTGTCCGATGCTTTTGATGATCATCTTGTCGATGTCCACGTTCGAGACGACAAGCTCACACTTCCCCTTCACTGCATTGAAAACTGCAGGCATGCTGTTAAACACAACTTCAATCGGCTCGTATGACGCAATGATGATACAAACGGGGTTAATCATCACAGGCCATATCCTTCCCGGTACCTTCATCGAGTATTTCCCCATCCACGACGGCAGTTCTGCAAGTCGACTTGCGTTACTCCTTGAAATCCCGTTAAACACGACAACGGCTTCATTTGAATAATCGTCCCAATACATCGACGAGTCCTTGACATAGTAGTCTTCATCGATCTTCTCCGCAATCCTCAGCGCAGTCTCATCCGCGTTTTCTCCATAGACAAAGTAGTGTTTCTTTGTTAATACAATCTGCGCAGGCTCTTCCGACATTCGTGTCTCGTAGACCTTTTGCATAAATGACATTTCGTGCGTTGGTGCGTTTAGTGTTGTTTGTGTGAGTGGCCCTGGTTGAGTGCTAGTAGTTTGTTGCACAGGCGTACTCACTGCATTTAAAGTCGTTGAAAGGAGTGGTCGACTTACTGAAGTGCTTTGAGCATTAGGTGATGGTGTTTGTTCCAGAGGAGTTGAGTAGGTGTTTGTTGAATGGGGATTGAAATGACCAGGTCGACCTCTTCCTTTAGGTATTGGTGTTGTAGTCTTCGATTGATACTTGTCTTTCTTTTTTAATGGTTTGTTGACGCCTTTCTTACATACAATTTTGTGGCCCACTTCAGCCCATCGCATCATCCCTGATGCATTTAGTAAAGGAAGCCCCCATGTCCCTCTCATCTCCAATTCGCGTTGTAACAACGAGAGCATCTTAGGCGTTTGAAATAAGAAAAATGCTCGGATCTTTGGTATCCCCGTTCGCGTCGTTTTCTCAAAGACTACAGCAGTCACTGCTTCCTGTGATATTCGATCAATCGACGCGATATCTTGTTTCACTGCGTTGTATAATGTCAACGCCCATTCCCCGTTAAATTTGTTCGACGGACATGAAAAGTCAAAATACTTCGAGCGACGGCTCGTTATGCGTTTGGTCTCGCTCATCTTCTATTTAAATACTTCTAAGATTTTGTTAGGGTTTCTTTTCTTTCTTTTCTCTCTTTTTCTTCTATATCTCAGTTCGTTTAAATGACTTTTGTTCGGTTCTTCGTGGGAAATGAAAGATTTTTTCTCAATAGTTTAATTAATCATTATTATTCTTTTAATTTTTATTTAATATTTTTATAATTTAACTATTAATAATGTAATTAAAAAAATGTATTATTATAAAATTAAATACAAAGTATTCAATATAATAAATTTATTAAACTAATAAATAATTATAATATACTAATGAATATAGTATAATGTACATGAAGATATGAATAACCTCAAAATAAAAAAGTGCTTATTGAACTTGAATAAACTATAAATATACTTTTTTAATATAATGAGGATGATTTCATTGTTCATTCAATTTTATTTGATCACTCTTTCAGTAGCAAAAACAGCGAGTGTAGTTAAAGGCGAGAAAGGTTTTGAAGTCTTAAAGAGTCGTTTGCGTGGTTCAGTAGCTTGGGGGTCCTATGAAAATACCGTGAATAAAACTGGATGGGGTGTGTTAGACATCCACACCAACCCCAAATACACAGCGACGGACCAAGCGTATGCTGCCGGGTATATAGAATCGTATATGACCCATCATTTGATATATTTATATTGGAAGAATTTCCTCGCCAATGAATACAACGGCAAAGTGCCCCATCGAGTTCGTGAGTTCTTTTCCATGCAATTTCGATTTTGGAAGAAAAACATATTTAGAAAGCCGGACGACTTCGACGATGAAAATTATGATGAGAAGTATTGGTCACAACAACGTCTTATTTATGAACAACTGAAAGGGTTATATGTGGGATACAAACATTTCTCCTCTGCATGTGAGAAGCTCAAATTAGAGGACATTTACTTACTTAATTCTGTTGGTGACTTACCAACAGTCAGTTCAAAGTATTCCCATGGCTATGGAGATAACTCGATGTTAGATTTACAAGAGAAACATCCCGATGAGATCTACCACGAGTGCACCGCATACATCAAATTTAACAATAAAACTAATGATGTGATCTACTCTCATAACACATGGCGGCCGTACTATGCAATGTTACGTATTTATAAGAATTATTACTTCCCGTACACTCAAAATGCATTCCCAATGAGCTTTGCAAGTAGTCCCGGCTTGATCCACTCAAAGGACGACTTCTACCAACTTCAAAGTAAAAACGACCACCGCCGCTTTGGGGTGATGGAGACAACCAACTCGTTTTATATCAAAAAGTTATATAAAAAGATCGACCCCTTCACTCTCTTATCTTGGCAGCGTGTTTTAGTCGCCATGTACTTCCAAAAGACTTGTAAAAAAGTCGTAGAGACAATAGGTAAATACAACTCGGGGACTTACAACAATCAGTGGATGGTCCTAGACTTAAAGAATGTCACAGAACATGCCAAAGACAACGCAAACTTATTATTTATAGGAGAGCAGATGCCTGGAAGATATGAAGTTTTAGACGTGACGCCCACTCTTGTGAAAACCACCTTTTGGGCGTCATACAACACGCCCTATATCAAATCTATTTATATCAACTCGGGCTACTTGAAAAAGGTCAAATTGGGGAAGAAGGAGTATAGCTACACCAAGTGCACTCGTGCGCGTTTGTTTAAGAGGGATGGGGCCAGAATGCATACAATCGACGACGTCAAGAAGCTGATGACTATGAATCACTACAAAACAGATAAACTCGCAAAGAAGCCGCGCAACCAAATTGCGTCGAGGTACGACCTTGAGAAGTACGACATGCGTGCACCATTTGGCGCTGTTGATTGTAAGATAGGAGCAGCGTCTTTAGGCAAAACCACGTTAGCGTATTGTGGACCAACTAAAGAAGGTGGACTTCCTCCTTTCGACTGGAAAAGGTTTCCTAAAGTGCAGCATGATGGGACTCCCGCTGTGTTTAATTTCGATTGGGTTGAAATGACGCCGATGAGTGATTAATTCAGTGTGTATTGTGTTTACTATTGATAAATAGTACATTATAAAACACAAATAGTACTTTTTTAAATCAGTTGAAACACTCGGACACGTGTCTGGTTGAAATCTTTGGTATCGGAGAAATCAGTGTATGTGATTGGATAAGTGTTTGGAATGAAGTGACTCCCTGAACTATTCTTTTTGTGCACGTGAATGTCATGCCCATTGCCAAAGCCTATTAAACAATCCTCTTTTTTGGCCCCAAGGTAATAGGAATACTCTGCATCACTCTTCTTCTCATACTTATTTGCAGTCACAACACCGTTTCTAGTCAATGAATAGATATAAGAACTTTGTCCAACAATTATCCCCATCCGTTGTGGAATCTTGTCAATTATAACACCTCCAAATTTATTGTCTTTGTCATCCTCAACAAGAAAACATAAATTCTCTTTGTTGGATATTTTGTCAAGAAAGACAGACGTGTCTTGGCCCCAGTCATCTACATTGCTGTCAAATACAATTTCATTTATTTGCATTGAGGTGATATTTTCTAGACCAATTAATTCATTCACAGAAAGGTCAGTGGCAACTCTCTCTTTTAGTTTATCTGATAAAGTGTTGAGACTTTGCATTTTTCTGTTTTTTGCATCTTCAAGCTTCTTGATCTCGAGATCAAATGGTGCTCTTAGTAATTTAAATTCTTCGTCATAAAGTGCAACAAGAGTCTCTCTTATTAAAGTCGTTGTTTTGTTTGTTTCATTTGATAAGAGTCCCATCTCCTTTTTAAGTGCTTTTATAAACACATCCATTTGCTGTTGAAGTGGTTGTAAAGTTTGTTCCATTTCTTTCTTTCTTTTATACATTTCTTCAACTTGGTCATAGTACTTCTCTGCGTTCTTTATTCTTTCTGATATGTTTAATGTCTTGTTATCTTTAAATTGAGTCACTATTTTATTAGTCTCAAACTCGTCCAATACTCTCTGTGATTGTTGACAATACGTGCTGATTTCATTTAATATGTTCTTCATCAATTCTTATTCTCCTTTTTAATAAGTTCATGCAATTCTTCACTCTTTTGGAATTTATATGAATTCTTTCCTTCAAATACTCGTCATTTGAAAATGTTGTTCAAAAGAAGTTGAAAATGTTATCAATTGTTTCATTCTTAATAATAAGGTGAATACCCCGATATTCACTGAATTTTTATTACTAACAAAAGCAAAACTATTCGTTCTTTTTTGAATTGAAAATTCGAATAAAAGTTCGCTGTGAAAAATCTAATTAAGCAGTAGATGTCCTCTTCCAAAGTCTCTCTTCCAAACTCCCGCCGCGATGCAATTTTCAAGCAAATTAAATGCAAGAACGGCAACAACGTTTGTTGTCACACAGTGACCTTTGTTTATTCGTTTTATATTCAAAAAATTGTATTCGTTTCCTTAAAAAAGGCAAAACCCTTGTTATGAATATAGAACAACGTGGTATAATTTTGTTTTCTTTTAATACTAAATTGCTGTAAATTCCAATATGAATTGGTTATTTACTTCATTTAACATTTGATTGATTACTCTAATTAATATTTATACCACACAATCATTCTATTAATAAATAGGTGTGTTTTGAATGTGGAACACCAAATCCGTCATGGGCATCAGTTCCATATGGCATTTTCATCTGTATTCAATGCAGTGGAAAACATCGTGGATTGGGTGTTCATCTTTCTTTTGTCCGTTCGATAGATATGGACACATGGACAACAAAACAAATGAGTAACATGATCAACGGGGGCAATGACAAATTTCGCACCTATTTAAAGGAGCACAAAGTCAACATGTCAGCCCCATGGGAAATGCGATATTCCCTTCCTCTCTGTGAAAAGTATAAACAAATGTTGACCGACATCGCTGACGGGAAATTGGCACCCGACGCTATTCAAGTCACTGCAACCGCTCCTATCACACCAACTCGGTCATCGCCAGCTCCAAATACTCGTGACCACATACAACTTGAAATTCCGTCAAAACCGATTGTACAACGCGTGAAAAAGGTGAAGGCTTCATCGACAGGACCAAGTGGGTCGAAGAAGGAACAAGTGCTTCCTGTGGTTGGTGAGCCGAAATTAGAAGAGAAGGGCGAAAGTGTCAAACAGAGCGAGAATGTGACGAAGGTGGTGTCGAAAACCAAAATTGAAATGAAAGAGCAAAAAGGAGGGAAAGTGGAGAAGATTGAAAAGGCAAAGACCCCATTTATTAACTCGAATGATGAGTGGAAAGTCACATCAAATGATGGTAAAGGTAATGAACAAGAAGATGAAGATGACGGGTGGGACACTTGGCAAACCCGACAGAAGAAGGCGAAAACTCCAGTACTCTCGGCAGACTATTAAATGTATTGCTTCATTTGTCATTGAATAGCTTTTAAATGTATAATCGGTAGAACTAAAACAGATAATGAAGATGCTTTTTAAAGCAAGGAAGGAGAATTTAAATATTTGATTAATTTATTTAGAATGGGGTTTGTTTGTCAATATTTGATGAAGACGAAGTGATATGGACACCAAATTTGTAAGCTTCAAAAATGCTAAAAAGGGAATGGAAAAAACAAGCAAGTCGATTAAATTTGGGTGCAAAATATATTATTTGGATAGCAAATGACAAAGCACACGAGTGACAAGCGTGGAACAGCGTGGTACAATAAAGAAATTGTATTTGTCTTGTTATTAAATGGAAGAAGACTTTTTATTGTCAAAGAATTGTCGAAAAGCAAAATTCGTTTTCATTGCGAAATAAATAAAAAAATACAAAAAATCGAATAACTTGTTTTTAGTTCAATAAAAAGATGACATTATTTTTATTATTTCAGTGTTGTAATGGAATTCATTTTTTGAAAACCATTAAATTATATTTTAAACACAAGTGATACAACTTTTATAAAAGTATTTGTATTTCGTTATCTGTAAAAAGGAAGTCAGTTAATAACAAGAAAGAGTCAAAAAAACTATTTTTTGAGCGCTTCTCTGTTGTTCTCAGTTTTCATTTAAAAAGTTGTTCATAAGCTTAAAATATTGTGGCTCTTCTTTTTTCACATCATCTTGATATGTTGTTTATAAATAATAATCACAAAGTAAATAAATATGTTTTTAATAAGATGCACCAATTGAATTAAATGACAAGGTTTGAATGCCTACAAAAATAAATGTACTGATACATCAAGATATTTTCCCAATTCTTCAGTTAATATTACATTTAATATTAGATAGTACAATAAATAATTTAATATCGTTTTTATTTAATATTTAAATATGGATAATAAAAAGGTATAAAAATATTGCACTTTTGGGACTTCGATCAAACCCTTGAAAACTAAATTGATATTAATCAAAAGTCTGAGATCAAAAGGCTTGATTTTAAAATTCGATCATTTTAAGAAAATCAAGACACACTTTTTCTTTATAATACCGATTATTTCTTGCGAACTATGCGACCGCACACAACACCAATTACAAATGGATTTCGAAAAATAAGTTATGTGAAACAAAAATAGACCTAAATCAAAATGTTCTATTTCCAAAAAACTTAAAATAAGATCACAAATATCACTATTTTTAATAAATTTTTGGTAAGAAATTTTGAGATTACATAAATGTTATTCTATGTATAGAATTATAACAACTCAACACCCAAATTCAAACCTAAAAAGCAAAATTGTCTCTCACTTACCAATTCAACAATTTTTAAAGCTCAGTTACAAATTTTAATAGAAATTTTGTGGGAGCAGAACAATTTAATCAATTTGCCATTAACAAGAGAATTATTTCAAAACACCAAATTATAAAAATGGTCATATTCCCGTATTATGACATATTTTGATAGAATCATATTTTCAAATGGCCTTCGAGTACTTCGTTGCGCCAAAATAAAAACTTCATTTCTCATTTGCATGTTTGAGTTCATTTTAGTAATTTTGGCTCAATTGAGAAAAAATAAGAGAAAAAAGTTCAAAGTGTGGAATTTGATTTGACAATTATAACTAGAGTGCAGGTTTTCAATCAAACATGTATCAAAAATAACATGAATTCTAAAGAATCCCCAAAAATATTCACACATAAAAGTCTACAGACTGCAAATTTGTTTAAATGGTGCAACATGCATTTTTTAACAAATAAAAACTTCTATTTATATTTTAAAATCGCTAAACATCTTTTTTGTTATCATTATGAGCATATCATGCCGAACTGTTTCTCTTTGAATTTTAATTTTTTTTGAATAAAATCTTAGTCAAAATCCTTTGATTTGGAATGTAAAAATCACCTAAACATTTGAAATTATTTCTATTAATTTTCTTTTCACATTTTTCCCATCAAAAAACTGTCTGTCTGTTTTTATATAATTTTTAACTACATTTTAAAGGTATATTAAATTATACACAAACCATATATTAATGCATTATTATAACAAAACAAGAATTATAAAAAAAGAATCAAGACGAAAAGTTGTTTCATTTTCAACAAAATGAAAACAAACGACTTGAATCAATACAGAACCGAGTTTGAGTCTATTCCTTTTTAGAAAAACTGTCTACCCCGTTTTGAATAAAAAAAGTGTTCAACTAAAAATGTTCAAACACAAGAAATAATCATGGTTAATGTAAAGATCACATTCTTTGGTTCAAGCACTGTGGGGAAAACATCACTTATACGACGATATCTCAAGAAGTCTCTTGAAGAAGAATACTTCCCAACGATCCAAGACATCTTCATAACTAAAATAGAGTCTGAGGGGTTTGCTGTGGATGCCAATATCGTCGACACGTCAGGAGATTCGACACTGTCAAAGATGCGCGACGAACAAATTATAGACAGTGACTATATAGTCTTCGTCTATTCTATTAATGACAAAGAGACGTTCGAGAGCGCACACAAAGACATCGGACTCTGCTTAACAGAAGTCTCTGCGTCATACAAAAAACACTTGCCTTCGGTCATCATAGTTGGCAACAAATGCGACTTAAAGAAAGAGCGTGAAGTCTCTTGTATAGCCGGAGAGGAGCTGGCGGTTAAAATACGAAGAGTCTGCCCGTGTGCATTCTTAGAAACCTCGGCCAAAGAAAACACACAAGTGGATGTACTCTTCACAACACTGGCAACTGGAATTCCAGAGATCGAATTGACGCCACTCAGCAAATCATACAGCCGCCCATACCTCTCTCCAAGATCAAAGTTCTCAAGAACAAAAAAAATCCTCCACATCGAAAAGGTGAAAGAAGAAGAAAAAGAACATGAGGTTCAGTCTCTGACTTCCTCCCCAACTACTTCAAGCATTACCACTTTGAGGCTCACTGTCTCTGTAAAGGAGGAACATAAACACAATACGCAAAAACTCGACGGCAGAAAAAAATTCCTCGCAGAATTCATCGGCTTCTTGACACCAAGAAAAACTCTCTAATGTTGTAATTGTATGTTTTATTGATTAAATTGGTAAAATTATGGTTTTTAAATAATAAATAACATCTCAAAAAGAGCAAATTCTAAATAGGTGATCAGTGAGCTCCTAAATAATCAAGTTGTTCCTTGGACAGCAAGTAGGTGGTTTTCTCTAAACGGCCAGATGCTATTAATTCTATTTCTATTCTATTTCTCTCCAATACACTGACAAACTCGTCGTATTTGTATGTTTTGTTGTTGAGCTGCATTTGCTCAATGTAATTCCTTGCAATTTTTGCCCTCTTCTCTATTTCCATTCCGCCACGTATCTCATTTAATCGCATTTCAAGAATCTCGTCACTCAAAATCTCGTCTTTCACCGTTCTGCTTTTTGAAAGAACCAATCTCAATCTTTCAATAATATCATTTTTGAGTTTTTGAAATGTTTTGTTCTCACTGTAGAGATTGAACCACCTCCCTTCCAACACCCATTGTTTCAGTTCCTCACTGCCATATCCCAAAACTACTTTTCCACACAACTCAATTCTATTTTGATTGATCAACTCAAAACAGACAATCCGAGGAATGTCGGAACGAACGGACATAAGTTGGATGAATTTTACTGGTGTTACTTCGACCAAAAGCAGTTCGTTAACAAGACGGCAGACACACATTTCTTCGTCGAAGAATTCACCACACTGTGAGAATGGACAGATCAAGTCATATATACCAGATTGTTCGACTATCGATAGATTCGTCTGAGCAACAAGTTCCCTTGTTTGTTGGTTAACAAGAAGCTGGCCAACAGTCAAGTTCAAAATGTCAAGGGGTATAACAAAGATATCAGAGAGCGCCGAATAGACTTGAACGGTGTGAAGCAACGCGACTACAATATCGGCCTTACTTGTGATGTCCCTCTTCGTTCGCTCGAATATCGCGACCACATCCTCGTTGTAACTTGGTGAAAAAATCTTCTCGACGGCATTACCCAAACATCCAATCACACGAATCTTTTGGGAAATGTGTTGTGGCGATTTCTTAAGAAGATCACCAAGCTTGGTTTGATCATCTGGCGATTCATAGTCAACGAATAAGGAGGCAACTTGGCACGGATACAAGTCGTCATTCATTATGTTGAAAATCTCACTCTCGACCGGCTCGACTTTACTCTGAACCTTTCGCAGTACTCGGATTGGGAAAAAGAGAGGTTCCGCATCCCAACCAAATTCAACCAACTCACTCTGTGTGACTATTTGAAGCGAAACTTTTTCGTTCAAGAAAGAGTTCGTCTTTTCACAGATCACGCCCCAAGGTTGATCCATTGTGTATGTATCAAACTGCTCCACGAAGCGTTCTTCTTTTTTTATTAACCGCGAAACAGTCACGTTGTATTTCTTCTGTGTCGAAGTGTAGTCGCTGGAAAGAGTATTGTAATTACACGAAACAGTGCAGTCGCCAAAACACCAGCTACTGACAACATTATCAAAGAGAGGATTTAAATAGATTGTTGTTTCACCAGAAAACACAAGTCGCGCTCCACTTTTGAGACTGACTGCAAAGTCAAATGGTTTGTTGGCCTTATCAAACGAAATAGCATGTTCAGGAAGGGTGATAACTCTTTTATACGCGAATGAATCCAAATTGAATATATCAACACGATCTTTGCGAAGACCATATATGAGTTTGTTTTGTCTGTCGACGAAGGACGAAATGAAATTTCCAGAACACCTGAGTGTCAGTGTGAAAGTTGTTTGATCTAACACGAAAAAGCCTTTTGGTGTTGTGACGTACACTTTTTCGCCATCAGTCGAAATCGAAGTCCCAAATATTTCAATTTTAGAATAAATAGGATAAACCATCTCGAAGCTTGCACCAAGTACAAAGACAGAATTATCATCTGTGATGATGCATTGCCTCACAGAACCTTCTGTTTGATATTCAAAAACCGATGTTTGCTGAGTGAATGAAAGTGAATCAGAACGCCCAAAAAATAGGGTTTTCGCGTCCACAAATCCGTACGAATCACACGATACATCTACCATTGGTGCTCGTATCACGGAACAAAATATTGTCTTTGCAATGGGAGCGCCAATTGTCTTGAGTGATGCTATGTCCTTTTTTAGCATAGTGTTGTAGTCGGTCATCTCGTCCATTCCGTTCATTGTGATTTTGCTTTTTGAGTCCTTTTCTACATTACCATAACTTATTAACTGTTATTCTCATTTTTCAAATAATCAAAATAAAATGTTAATTAATATTTCAAATATATTTAACGTTTTTTTTATTTCCATGTATAAATTTTTTTACAATTTATAAAACTTCATTAGAATAATTTAATAACCTTTTAAGTTTTATTATTTTAGTTAATTTAATCAATAAAAATAAACTGTATTATCCTATTATTACAAAAATAATTATATTATAATAATCAATTATTTTTTTTGTTTTTAATTAATTAAAAACAATAGTGATAGAAAGAACTAGAAATAGTAAATGTCAACGAGTGGTGATAAGAAAAAAGCCTCAGGTATTTCAATAAATATGGCCACCGCGAAGCGCGAAGAATTGATAGATTTTATACACGCGTGTTCGGAGCGTATTCGTATATTAAAGCAGAAGAACTCTGAACTCCAAGTTGATGCCAAAACACAAACAGAGGAGCGTGAGTTATCTGAGATTCGCGCAAACGTTTGTGTTATCATATTATTAAGTGTTAAATTTGAATTAAGAAAAAGGATTTAGAACGTAAAATTGAAGCGATTAAAAAGGTTCACGACGACAAAGTATCTGAGATGTCTGACAAACTCGAGCAAGTGAAAGAACAACTTAGTATGGCAACCCCCGACATCCCTTCGATATTAAAATTATTAGACGACACTTTGGATTGTGCTGATGGCGAAGACTCCTCCGATAAAGAGGACGAAGTGGTCAAAACTATTCGAAGTGAAGAGACAAAACGCGTGTTAGAAGCAAATGATATGAAATGGAAGACTGAGATGTTGGACCAAAAAGAAACGCAAGAGACTGAATTTAAGAAACAAAAGGAATCATTAGTCTCTAAATATGAAGAAGAGAAAAAAGAACTCACTTCAAAGATCGACGAAAAGACTAAACAACTTCTTAAAGCAGATGAAGATCTTAAAGCGGCAAATCAAATATTTTCTGAATATAAAGCTCGAACATGCAAAACATTCGAGTCGGGAAAGGATTTCAGAAAGGAACACGAAAAGTGTGACGAAGTCATTTTTAAACTGAAAGCTGAAGTCGAAAAGCTGAAATATGAAAATGAAAGACTTCTTGAAGAACTTAAACTAAAGAAAAACTAATTCATTACCGTAGTGTGTTATTGTACTATAGTTTATTTGTAACGTATAGTTATATGGTATTGTACTTGAAATTATAATTTGTTAATAATTAAATTAAACATTGGTTTAATCGTTTGTTATTTAAAGATAAATGTCTGTAAAAAAAATTAAAATACTTATTAATTTAAATATAAATTTATTTACTATTTTATATTTTTAACAAGTTTTTATAATTAATAAATAATTTTTAATTAAAATTAAAAATATAAATAAAATTTTTCAAACATATTTGTATTTTTTTTGTTGTTGTAAATATAGTAGTTGTTATTAATAATTATTAATATTTTTATTAATTTTTTATTTTTTATAAAAAATAAAAATAGTAAAAGTAATAATATTTTTATTAAAAAAAAGTTTGAGAATTAATGTACGTTTAAATTTAATTATTAAAAATATAATTAAATAATTCTATAATAATGATTTATTTTTTTAATCAAATAAATAGTAGCCAAATAACATTTAAATTAAAAGGAGGTATTCTAATTAAAAAAACAGCACATTTATGGTGTTGAATATGTTCAGTTCTAAAATTACAAATCACCGAAAAACAAAAAGTCCAGATAAGGGATTTGTTTAAAAACAGCCGTTTTAACAACAATACTTCGGGATTTTGTAACAAACAATGGGGGTTAATTCCAGCTTAAAATAGATAAATCCAATTCCATTTATTAGATACTAGTTTAAATATAATATATTTATAGTAATTCTGTAATTACCAGATTAGATAGCGAAAATTAAAAGTGACAATTCTCTCACTTATTAATGTGATAAGAAATAATATAGTAAAATGAATTTATACTAATTAGTAAAAAAAGTGAATTATTACCTTTCAAATTAGCACAAAAAGGCAAACGAAGAATAAAAATAAATTACAAGAGATAAATTCCTAGATACGAAGGAATTTTGCAATAATATCAGAGCCTTTACCGAGTGTAATTGACTCATTTTGGGTGAGCATATTTGCAATGAAAGAGTTCAATTGGCTTCCTATCTCAGTAATATCGTCATACGAGATCCACTCGTTATTTGGTAACAAAGCTGCTGTGACTGTGTCGAGGCGGTTAGCTCCGTTTTTGCCATTAGTAGTCTTAATGACAAAGAGATTGTCGAACTCGAAGAGTAAGTCGAGGACCATATGTAAGTTCTCAGCCACTCGATTTGTTTTATACCTTCTCATAGCAGTCTTAGAACTAATTCCACGAGCCACGTCCATTTCCATTTGTTGTTTACATCTCTTCTCGACAATGTAAGTCAAATCGACTCGATCAGTGGGGGAGAAGACAACGGATTTAATAGTGAAGAAGGGGAGTGTAACGTTGGACTTTTTCTTCTGAGGAGTGATAATGATGTCTGCGTGTTGGTTTAAGAGTGCGATAAGAACTGCTTGTTGATAGACCTGATAGTTTCTTAAGTCTTTGTAAAGTTTTGGAGCCTTCTTTGTAATAGTGTTGATGGTGTTGTAGACTTCGACTTGCATTGTGTGATGTAATTTCGAGGTGGGCAAATTGATATAGTAAAGGGGTTGATTTTTCACAAGAAAAACAAAAATGAAAATAGAGGTTTTTCTTACCTCTTACAGTTACCTTCCTAAATCTGTCTATGTATGCGGTTTATCCTTATTCGGATTTTTTTGTCACTTTTTCTATATGTTTTTATCCATTTTTAATTCGTTCGGTCGAGGAGTGACGCTTTGGGATATTTGAACTTGCCGTTCTATTTTAATAGCATTACTGTTTAAACAGCGAAAACAGGGTTCACTCGCTAACACTTTCCATTCCTTCATTTTTGGTTGGTCCTAACATTGGCTATTTATCCCGAAACATTACACTTATTCTGTTTAATATAACTGGGCTTAATCTAAAAAGCCAGCTCGTTTATTTTGGTTATTGTGCTCTATTTTCTTTGCAGTCAAATTTTGAACTGTTTTCAAGCACTCCCCAATTTTCCAGTTCAAAATAAACTGTGTAATAAAGGTCCACTCTATATTTATATAAACGTTGAAAAAAGGTGCACTTCTTTTTTTCTTTTTTGTTTCGGCATTATCATTTTTTTATTTGGAAAAAACGAAGATTTTAAGATAAAATGCCGTGTTTTTTGCACAATTTGGATTTTTTAATTATTTTTTTCAAAAACGCAATTGTTTCTTTATGGTAAAACAATTTTTATATTACTAGTTTTTTAATAATATATTAAAATGAATTGTGTACAAAACGATCCCATTATAAGAGATAAAAAAGCTTTAAAAAAAAATATACAAAAAAAGATATGATCCAAAATTTTTAAAATGTTTTCGAAAAGAAAAATACAAAATTGAATGCAAATTGTGAAAAGTTGTTTTTGTGCTATTTATTTGGTTCATTTCCCGAATTTTCACGGAAATCAACTCGATTTATAAAAGTTTTTAATTAACTAAGTTTTACAAGTGACAATTAGCGGAATATGTCAAGTGCTATATATATTCCATCGAAAAACGGCGAGTAGAGTTTGGGTTTTAATAATAAAAAGAATAATAACTTATAATAATGTGTTAATAAACATTACACAACAATTATATTTTTATAATAAATTAAACTAGAAAAATACTTTGTAACCCCATTTTTTTAGTTCGAATTAACCGTTTCTTCCCAAAAGTGCAACATATCAATAAGATAAACAAATCCCGTTTATTTAACAAGTTTTCAACGTATCAATTGATGAAACGCCAATTTTTTAACAGTTAACACCAATATTAGATTGACTAGAATAATTTGGGAAATTAAAAACAACTAAACAAACTAAAATTGTTTGTTTAGTTGTTTATAACAGAGATATAACTATTAATACAAAAATAAGAAATGTTGAGCTTTTAAATTGGGTAAGACAATCAAGCAACACTTTGACCAACTCGTTCGTCAAACTATATATTTAAATTGTTGTAACTATAAAAATAATTATCGTTTAATGCTTTTAACCACTTATCCAATTGTATTATTTGTTTTCCAAATCTTAATTATCTTATTTTACTGGGCAAGTATAAAAATACTTTTTGATCATTCAAACAAACCGTTTCCAATTCGATACAATCAGTTAATATTTTGAATTGCTGTTTTATTTCAAAAACATCAGTACTGGCTTTCATTCGGAGTTTTTTATTAATTTGCTTTTGCTGATATCAGTCTTGTCATCAATAGTAAAAATATGAAACAACAAACTTTCAAGTTTATCTGTTGTTTAATTCATTATTGTGCAATTACAAAAGATCATTACAGTTCCATCTTATAAGATATCGTTCAATTTAATTAATGAATTTTTTGTGTTTTTAATAAAACTACAGTTTTCATTTTTGCCGTTATTTTTATATTAATTAGACAATTTCTAATAAAATTATTGCTTAAATGATTACCACGTGAACATACTGTTCTTGGTAAAATCTTTCCTATTGGAATGGTGTTACTGTGCTCAATAACACACATACAAACGTCATTCTTACAACCAAAAATGCTTATAAAACAACCTTCACATTCCTTTCGATTCTTTGGTGTTCACTAATACTCAAGAAAACGTTCTTTTCATATTTTGTTCACTAACAATTTCATTCAGTCTTTGTTCTTGTTTTTGATTACTAAACACGAAAATATTTAACTTAAGAAACATTTTACCAGTCAAAAAAAGACCAGCCCCGAATTAAATAAAACTCCAATAAAGTTCGAACAGTTTTATTTTCCGTGTAATTTTATTCAACTTACCCCCGAAAATAAGTTAATTTGGCGCTTTTGAACCACCCCAAAATTAATTTCTCATCGTCAAAACACTGAAAAATATACTGGACCATCGTAAAAACAACATAATAAATTACATCAGAAGAACCTCAACAAGGCCTCCCACATTGATGGTCTAAAAAATTTGAACAACCGCGCGTTTGTTATTTTGAACTTTGGACATTCTATCACTGTAAGATCTTGTAACCCAAATGGCAATGCGACCGGACCCAAATTTGAACAATCTTTCAGGACAATAGACTTTGTCAACGGTGCGTTCATATCCTGAGAATAAAATACAAACACCTTGAAACTTGGCACATTACACACCGAAAAAAAGTTGACATGGTGAAACAGCGTGACAACCTCCACGCCAAGACAATTTTTCAGTTCAAAAACTTTCACTCTTTCTGGTATTTCAAAACGGACTTGTAACACGCAGCCAGTCAGTTTTAATGTCTCCACACTCCGACTTATTTCTGGAAATCCATTTGTAAAAATTAAATATGAAAATGAGACTTTTGCCAGTCCGTCCCAACACAATTTAAACGGCACTTCCTCTTCTATTGTTTGTCCAATTTTTTCGCGAGTTGTTTTCATTATTAAGAATTCACTCTTCTTTGTTTTATCTTTGGAATAAAAAGAGACTGACTGTGGTAGTATGCCATCTGTGAGTTCTTTGACGAAAGTGTTGTCATCGAGCATGTCTTGGTGTGTGTGAAAAACTTCGGTTTGACCATTCAAACCAACCCAGAGGCAGTTTTTGCCATGTGTATTTTCAGTATTTCCAACGCCCAAGTGTACGTCTCTTTCTGGCAAAACCCAAGATTTGATGGAATGACAACTTTTGTGATTTTCTAATTTCTTGTTCCACATTTTGATGATTGCGAAAATTTCCTTCACAACATAATTATCTCTTACAATCAGTCTGATATTTTCAGCATTTTCCCGAAATGTTTCGTCGAATTTCACTAATAACAGACCATCAACCTCACTTGCACAAACTATAAATAAAATGTCTTTTTTAAGTAAAATTTTAGTAAATTTACTATTGATTATAGATAGTGGCGCCTTAATAAATACTTTCGTCAAAGTTTTCAAGTTTGAGATTTCAGAATTTAAGTTCTCGAATACTTCATCATTTGTTTCGACGTTCCATTCGATTTTCAAAATTTGGAGTGTTGACATTTTATCAAATAAATTTTTAAAATAATAATGGAGTGGTAATATTAACTCGTTAATTTTTGGGCGAGTGATTTTCGACAGTATTTCGTTTTTGTTTGAAATTATGAGTTTCATCGTTTGTATCTTGTTGAGTTCGTTAATAGCCACCGAAACGTATTTGTCGTTTTCGTACCGTGTTGCCGATATTTGACACAAAAAAGTTGTGTTGCACAAAAACGATTCCGCACGTTGGAAATATTTTAACTCTCGAAAAAGGTTCTTTCCAATTAGTGAACATAAAATGCACTTTCTGGCTGTAAAGACGCCGATTTGAACTTTTTTTGAAACAGCGACAAAATTAAATAAATCTTCTGGCCGCACAAACATTGCAATTAAAGAGATGAAACTTGCGTCAAACCCACTTTTTTGAGTTGGTGAATTTTTATTCATGATTTTGTTTTTTAATTTGTTGATAAAAATTTGATGATTTGCTAAAAGTACTGCCTGTTCGTCGTATCTCATCATCATGACTTTATATTCACGTTTCTGCATTTCCGTTTTTTCAAACGAAGAATTCATGTCATCTTGAAATTGTTCGTACAGTTCATCAGCATTTTTATAACTTTCCATCGCCTCTTTGTATATTTCTTCGAAATCGTTTTGGTCTATTTCTTTTGTAAAATCCTCATCAAAATTTTTCACAAATTCGTTTTGGCGCATTTTCATGATTTTCTCTTTGATGTTTTGTAATTCTGTGGTGACTTCTTTCGTTTTGTTTAATAATTCCTCATATTGTTGGTGAAGTTTTTGGACGTTCGTAAAATCTTGCATTTTTTCAGAAACAACTTCCATTCTAAAAAAATGATTTTACCTATTTTCAAGTTCTTATAGTTCAAAAAGGTTTTTCACTTTAGTATCCCATTAATATCAAATTTATAATAAACTGAATAATATTTTATGGTACATTGATTTACTTTTTGATAATAAAATGTATTATATAAATATAGTAAAATAAACCATACAAATTTACTAGATGCTATCAACAATAAAGAAGTGATTAGAAACACACAAGAGAAGAAATATCAATCAAATTACTTAAGAAGTTGTCCATCAAGTTGTTTATTCGATCTCGTCGAAGTGATATGACTTCAGTTGTTTGTATTGTTTTGGAGTCATATGTCTGATCTTGTTTTTGTTAGTGACTTGTTGAACAACAGTGTTCTTCAAGATGTTTTGCTTCTTTCTAATTATACTCTCCTTTCGTGCTTCTTTACGTTTGGCTTCTTCCTCTTCCTTTCTCGCCATGATCTCGGCATCAACCTTTTGCATGATTTTACGACGCGCTTTGATCGCCATTTTCTCGTCCCAGCTCATCCCAGCACCATTCACATTGAAATTGACGGACCGTCTAGAAATAAATATTGTACTGTTTTAATCCAAATGTCGTTATAACAAACTTCTGATGAGTCTGCTTCCAAGGACGCCCAGAAACATTTTTCGATTGAATCGGTTTTGAAATGACTTCTTTTTGTGAACACGAAAGCTCGGACTCCTCTTTAAGAGACGCGTCAAGCAAATCATCGGCTTGCTTTGTCTTTTCGGCAGGTTTTGATTGTTCACTCGAGGTGGTTTCTTTAGGAACTTCTGTAACTACTTTCGCTTCAGCCATTTTCGAAAATAAAAAGTTCTTAGGGTTTTCATTAAAAAAACACAAAAACGTCAAAATTTTATATTTAATAATATTAAAAAAAATTACCATTTGATATTTCATAAAAATTCAAAAAATAAATTTTGTGTAAAAAAACACAAAATACTCAATCTAGTTTTATTCAATCATATTCCTACTACATGGTCAATTCTTTGTTTCATTTTTGATTATAATTGAAATAAATACGTGAAATTCTTTGTAAATCCAAAAACAAACAATCTATTGCCAACTTTCCATGTGTTTTGGTCTTTGTTAAACCTGTCATGGAGTGGCTTTATTTTTTCTTTTCTCATTCTTTCGTTCAGGTGCTTCCCATCAGCCACTTGGTAAAACGCGGGGGCAAGTTCAATCAACCACTTGGGGTCAATGGAGATTGTCTCTCTCATGTACTCTTTGCTTGTCAAGACCAGTTCATGGTAGACAACCCACTCAGGGTTTCGACCAAACAAAGCCGAGGTTGGGTGTAAAAACACTTGCTGTCCATCAACAACGGTTCGGTAACCTTCTTGTGCATCTCTCTTTGCCGCATGGACAAAGAACCCAGCAACAATGCACTTCAAAACCGGTGTTGTGTCTCCACCACAACTCACCATTTCTATGTTGTACTTTTTCATAATTTTAACAATTTGGTTTCGAACTTCTTCACACCTCAAAAGCGACCGCAAGTTAATGTAATGGCTCTTGCACCAACTGCCAGTTTTCCCATTTTTAATCCACTGGTTGTATACGTGTAATAATGTTATCTGATCGCCAGCAACATTTTCAAAATCCTTTTTCCTCCTCTCCGCCTCTTCGGCTTTTTCTTTTGGTCGGTAGAAAAAGTTCCCAACAGAAAGCGCCGCAACAACGGTGGCAGCTTCTTCCGAACACTTGAACTCCTCGGAGGAAATGAGCATTTTTGCCAATGGAGGTTCAAGTGGAAATTCAGACATTTTGGTCCCAACACGTGTCAGCTCACCGTTATCGTCCAACGCCCCAATTGAAAATAAGTGGTGCATTGCGCTGTACAACGCTGTTTCGACTGGTGGATCCATGAAATCGAATTTCTGTACATTTTGTATTCCCATTGCCTTTAACAACAAGACAGTTGTCTCCAAGTTTGCTCTTTGTATTTCAGGAACCGTCATTTGCGTCATTTCATGGTCGAACGCAGCCTCGGTGTACAACCTGAAACACTTTCCAGGACCAGTTCTTCCTGCTCTACCAGAACGCTGTGAGGCGCACGCTTGGCTTATTGGCGTGATCAACAACTGGTCCATCCCAAGTTTGGGGTTGTAGACATTCTGTTTGACAAACCCCGAGTCGACGACGTATTTGATCCCGTCAATGGTGATGGATGTCTCTGCAATGTTTGTTGCAACAACACACTTTCTGCAAAATTTTTCCGCTGGCTCGAATATCTGTTTTTGTTGATCTGTTGGCAGTGCGGCGTATATTGGAAGTGCTTTTAATTTGGGGCAGTTTTTAGAAAAGGTTTTCGACTTTGCGTTGATCGCATTGCATACATTATCAATCTCCTCTTGCCCTGTCAAAAAGAATAAAATGTCTCCCGGATCTTCGTTCATGTGAATTTGTAAAATTATTTCTATTCCAGCATAAACATAATCCATCTCAGGTTCTCTCAAATACTCAATCGTCACAGGGTACGTTCTTCCGGGGATTCTTACTATTGGCGCCTTCAGGAAATATTCAGAAAACTTCTCCGCTTCAAGTGTTGCGGAAGTTACAATTAATTTGAAGTTCTTTCTCCTCAAACACGTCTGTTTCAACAACCCAAACAAAATATCAGTTCCCACAGTTCTTTCGTGGGCTTCATCCAAAATTATAACGGAGTATTGTTTCATATCAGGATCTGTCAAGTACTCTCTCAACAACATACCATCAGTCATATACTTAATTCGCGTCTTTCGGGACGTCCTGTCATCAAATCGAATATAATACCCGACCTCTTCGCTCACTTTGCACCCCATTTCCTCCGACACTCTTTGTGACACGCTTATGGTTGCTACTCGACGCGGTTGTGTGCACCCTATTCTCCCACCTTTCGAGTACCCCTCCTCGTCCAAATATTGTGTAATTTGTGTTGTCTTTCCACACCCAGTTTCCCCAATGATAATCAATATTTGGTTGTTCTTGATTTTTTCCATCAGTTCTCCTCTCATGGAAAATATTGGGAGTTCCTTTCTCTTTTCTTGAATACTCTTGTGGAAAGTATTTTCTGCGCTCTTTTCGTTTTCTTCCCACTTCCTTATCTCGTCGGCTCCGATGACGACCTCTTTGAATGGCGAGTTTTCACTCTGTATTTTTTCACTTTTTTTGCATTCTCCCTCTTTTTTTCTCCTCTCAAGCGTCGTGTCATTCCTCCAACTGTCAATCTCGCTTCTTTGTTTTTGTGATTTGTCAGTTCCACTTTCCAGTTTCTCTTCTTTCGTTTTTGTGTCCCTTCTCTTTTTCGCAAGGGTTAGTGACATCTGTGCGCTTCTCTGTAAATGTCCCTCTGGTTGTCTGTTGACTTCCAATAAATTAGTTTCGAAAATTTGTTTGACTTTCCCTTTCAAAAAATCTGGCTCGTCAATATTTAATTCCACGTCACCAACAGTCATCTCTTCTATTTTGAGATCCAACGCGGGGAGATCAGATTGCTTCATTACACCAGCAGCAACCAATTTTTCCATCTCGGCTCGTTCTTCTGAAGTGTCTCTCCTCCTTTCGGCAACTCGTTCTGTCTCTCTTCCTCGTCGTTTGTGGACAGGAATCTCTGGGCCTCGTCGTCTGTCTGTCAAAACTATTTATATAGTATTTAATTATAAAGTATAGTTTCGGTTTAAAATAATAATATTTTTTATTAAATATAATAAAAATGAGTATAGTAAAGTTTATGATAGTATTATTAATAAAGTATAATTTATACTACAAATACCAAAAAGAACTATAATTTTATTAACAAACCTGGTATTCATTTTTTGAAAGTGTTGATTTGAATCGTAAATGTCGAAAAACTTTCCCAGTTTTTCAGGATCATCGACAGTCAAAATTTTCTCAAATTTTGTGATGAACTCTCCACGTGAGTTACACTTCTTAACGACAGCTAATATGTTTTCCGCAATGTCAAGATTAGCCGTTCCATATAACTCCTCGAGGTATTTGCAATAAGCGTTTAACACAGACATCTCCTTTAAAACATCCATCAAACTTTTAATGAGTTCTAAAAATTAAATCAAGAATAATGTTGTACTATACTTATAATTATTTTATTAATATAAATAACCATATTTTTATAGTTAAATTATATAACAAATTAATTATAAATTTCAAATTTACTGGACCTACTTATTTTATAGTTTATAATAACAAAAGTAAAAATACAATACAATATAGTAAAATAAGTTATAAACAACTAGTAAACAGAAGTAAGTTGAGAAAACAAAAGAAGTCCAATACTTTTCGAAAGAGCCCGAAAAAGGACCATCAAGTAGAACTTAAAATTCCGAAGAAATGATTGCACTTGTCTTGTTGTTTGTATGCATTTCTATGACGGAGGGGTCTTGTGCCAGTTGGGCTCTCCGCAAATTTTCGGACGACTATAAAAATTGTTTTGGCAACTCAACCACAACGGCCGAAAAACACAGTTGTCTCCGAAGCTGGAAATTTTCTTTGAACGACACGGATTGCCTTGACATCAAATACCAGCAACTCTTCCAACAATTTTGTTTTGGTCACAACGCTGGATCGTTCGTCTGCAACTTCTAATTTTTCTTTGATTCTTTTGTTGTTTTACTGTATCATTAATTTATAATTGTTTTGTTACTACTTCTAATACATTTCTTTTTGAAACACAATATTTGTATCATAAATATTTTATTATTTTATTATTTCTTTATAATACATTTTTTATCAATCAAACATGTATTATATTCAAATTGTAATTTTATATTAAAATAATCGTACAAAAACACAGTTACAAATTTTCTTTTTAACAAAATAAAAAAATAATTGTACTAATAATATTAAATTGTTTTATTATTCACTTATAATACATTTTTAAAGAACCAAATACATGTATTATAAATATATAGTTTTTTTAATTAGAATACTAGTACAAAAAATAAAACTGACTTTATAAGATTTGCTAACATCGTCATTTTTTCTTTTCCTTTTTTTCCTTTTTCTTCTCGTCTTTTTCCTTCTTCTTTTCGTCCTTTTCTTTTTCCTTTTCCTTTTTGTCTTTGTCGCCCTTATGAAACTTTGAGAACAACTTACTTTGCTTTGGAGAGTTTTTCTGTGAGGAGGACATCTTTGGAGTTAAAGAAGGCGAAGTGTCTTGGAACACGCCGATGGGGCGCATTCCACTCTTTTTGGAAGAAGGAAGAGAGTCTCTTGAACCGATAGATCCATTTCTTTCAGTTTCTCGTGTTGGGTAATCGTCGGATAACATCAACTCGTCGTCGATACACGAGCTGAGCTTTTCGAGTTCATCAGGTCCCAATTTACGTTCTAACGTGTCCAGTTGTTGAATTAATTCTTGTTGCTCTTTGAAGAGTCTGTCATATTCTCCTTTCAAAGCCATATTTTCCGCGTCGAGTTTATTGATTTTAGCGTTGTAAGCTTGTGTGAATGTATTGATAGTGTCCAGTGTAGCGTGATAGATTTGATAATCATCATAGACGTACTTCTCCAACTTGATAGCGTCAAGGAGTTGATTCGACAAGTTCCCCGGCAAGAGGTCTAATATTCCTTGGATGTTATTTTTGATGGCATCAAGTAACTTCTCAAAGGCTTTATTCATCTCTTCTTCACTCTCCGGCTCTTCTTTATATTCCACGGGATGCGCGTCAACGTATTTGAACATCTTCTCTCCCACACAATTGCCATTCATCTTCTTAATCGTTTGTTGTAAGTCGATGAGAAACCCTTCGCACATCGAAGTGTTAGTATAAATGTTCTGAATGATTAATGAGACAAATTCAAGCTTATATAACACAGGGACTAATTGCGGTCGGCGATCATCATCAAACATTAACATGAACGGGTCGTTGACATTCTGACAGATCGTATATGTGAAAAAAAGCTCATTAAAGATCTTTTCAATCACCACCGTCTCAACTTCCCCTTCCCGCATGATCTTAAAAAATTTCGTGAAGAACATCCGCACAAAGTCCGGCAAATACTCCGCGTTCTTAATAAAGTCCTCATTCAATGCACAAAAGATCTGTGCGATCTTGTCTAAGGACGCTTGATAACTCGCTATGTCTTCCGCTGTGGTTATTTCCTTCGACTGGAAGTTCATCGCTATTTTAAACTCCTCCGAGTAATCCCCACCAGACGACAATCCAAAGATAATCGGCTCAAAGATGTCCAACAAATAATTCTTGAAATGGTAATGGACAAATTGATTGTAAAACGGAATGAAAAACGTCGAGTGCTGGAAGGATGAGGAATCTATGGTAAGTGTGTCCGTCGTCAAGAAGTCTATATCAATCGCCCACATTAATAACTCCATAAACCTCCCATGGACTTTAAAGTAATCACTAATCAATCGCGCATACTCGACACTCCGGTTTTGTCGTTGCTGAGTCACTAACTGCTTGTTACACATGATACTATTCATATATTATAATGTACTAGTAATTTTACTAGAGTAAAACTGAACTTGAAATACTACGTCACGGAGAACGCGACATAATATAAAGAAAAAGAACAAACAGTCCGCACTACGGCTTCAAGAAGATTGTGTCGACGTGAAAAGAGAAGTTTGTCGAAGTCGGATTTGGACGGGTTTCTGTCGTCACTCACGTCGCTCATTTCTTTGATAAATAGTTTGTTTGTAAATGAGAAAATGTTTTTCGATTGTGCTATTTCTTCACTTTCTTGGTATTTCTTTTTCTAAACAATTTGGTATTAATATTATAGTTTGTATATGGTTTGTATATGGTTTTAATTCGATTGTTCGTCTTTTAGAAATAGTGAAATTACAAGGAGGTGGAGACTAAAAATATGGGATTAAAAAACGCTCAAATTGACTGGGGTTTTAATTGAATTATTTACTTTCAACTATATTAGTTTAATTATAGTTGTTTTACTATATGGAATAGAAAATCAATTTTGAATTTGGGATCGAAACTGAGTTTTTCAATTTAATTTAATTCAGTTAAATTAGATTTTTAATATTTATATTATAAAAATAAGCTTTGAAAAAAATACAAGTTTTAAACTGTTTTTATTAGACAACAAAAATATAAGTCAAGTTGATTGTTTTTTAAGAACAATTCTTATTATTATTATAGTTATAAATTATATTAAATCTAGAATATTAAAAATGTTTCAAAATTTTGCTGTTTGGTATAATGCTAATTAAGACCAACTTTTAATTTTAATTTTTATTTATAAAGTATAACAAATTAGATCAAATGAGGGGTTAAGCATTATCTTACTCTTATTCACCAGTCGACTTTTTTAATTAATTGTCAACTTATTTTTAAAAATAGAATTATTCAACTATTTTAAACAAGTAGACAAACCATTAGTTATTATTACTGTTTTTATTTTAAGGAAATAAAATAGTTGAAATATTAGAGTATTTTTATTTGATGATTAATAAATAATAACTTTACAAAAAAACTTTTAAAATAATAATGTTTTGAGTCTCGAATAAAGTAACAAGTTGATAAAATCCAAATAACATAATAAATATAATCTAAGGTTAAGTATTCAACACAATTAACAGTTATTTAACTGTTTTTTTTGGTAAGTTGAAAATGGTTAGATAAAGAATTTCAATTAAAATGATATAAAGACATTGTCATTCAAAGAACGCACAGATCAGGACCAAGTATTCAATTTTTTCTTTATCTTGTTTTTATTTTTTTGATTATTTAAAACTAATTCAATTTTGATTTGCGAAGGTTATTCAAATATTCTATTGTTATTGCTGAGTTGAAAGATGTTTTATTTCAATTTTATTGTTACTTGTCTGTTTTTTAATATAAAACTCTATAATGGTTCAGGTAACAATTATGTTATCGAATTCTTCCATTATAATGTAGTGCTTGATGTCATTTTGTATAAAATACTTGATTACTATTTGACATCAATTGTTTCTTTACCAATGATCAAAACTATCTCACTGTTTTCTCAATTTTATTTTACTATTGGATCAATCAATGTCTTTGGTACCATTAACAACTCTAAATGATTGTATATTCTATTATAATCTATTTTATTTTTAGAATAATTAATATTACACTTTCTAAATAACATAATAATTATATTAAATTTTTAAAATAAAAAAAAAAGCAGATGTTTAATAAATATATTATTTTATTTTATTAGTTTTCAATTATCAACATCTTATATTTTATTAATTGTTATATTATAAAATGCTACTTTTTTATTTTAATTAATTAATTAAAATAAATTATTTATAAATTATAAATCAATTCCAAAACCATTCAAATACTATTATTAATAGCATAATGTAAGTAACCTTGTAAAAACGACTATATATAGTAAAAATACCATAACAATAGTTTATCTTGGACTTGAACTTATAAATACAACCAAGAGCTGTATGTGTGACTATGTTCGCTCAAGTATGTCATTCATTGAATCGAATGCCAGTCATGTCAAAGTGAATTCCCAAAAATTGCGTGAGAAAGTTCTTCCTCATCTCGACGAGATCATATCGTATAAATTTGACACTTCGATTCATGTTGCGCCACAAGACGTTGAGTCTCGTTTGCGATATATCTTGTTAGTCGATGCTCTCAATTTTTGCTTTTGGCCAACAGCGAATTTTGAATATGACAATTTGACTGTTGGTCTTACAAAGCTTGAGAAAGACCACCCCGAGTACTTTGAACCGGAACACATGACGGAAATAACACCGGAGATTTTGGCGCACTATTTAGTCTTTCAAAACTCCCCAATCCCAAACATCTCGGAACGGACAAGGCTCTTCAAAGAAGTTGGGGAAGTCCTTGTAAAGCGTTTCAATAGCAAGGCGGAGAATTTGATAGTCGAGACACAAGGATGTGCAAGTGCTTTAGTAACCCTAATAGCTAAGGAGTTTCCTGGGTTCCGCGACTCCACTGTATACAAAGGGCGCCAAGTCTTCTTTTACAAACGCGCGCAAATAGTCGTCGGAGACATTTCTGGTATGTGCGACAACATCAAGCATCTTGAGGAATTAACAGGGTTTGCGGATTATCGAATACCTCAATTATTGCTGGGATGGGATTGCCTTGATTTTTTAGATCAATCGTTAAAGGAAAAAATTATTAATAAAATAGAAATAAGTGCGGGGAGTGAAGAAGAGTGCGAATTGAGATGTACCGTACTTTCTGCTATAAAAATAATACAGAAATCTATTGAGGAAATTAAACACGAAAAAGTTAATGGAAACGTTATCGACTGGTTCTTATGGTCGACGGGAGAAAAAAATAAGGACAATCTCCCACCACATCATAGAACTAATACTATTTTCTATTAATCTTCGGGTTGGATACTGTATTATATTTATTAGATTGAATATGGTTTTTTATTGATACTAAAGTGAAAAAGTGAATCAATTAGATAAATTGGGTCAGATCTAAGAACGCATTAAACCCTTCTGCATTTTCCTCGTTCTGCTCTTCGTTTTCTCCACTCTCTGTTTTCTCACTTTTTTGCTCAATTTTTTCGACTTTTTGAGCTGTGTCGTTTTGGTCATTACTTTCGTTTTCTAGTAACTTTACTATAACGTCAGGATTGTCCATCTTCTCTTTACTCTTTTTGTTCTCTCTTTCCACCATTCTCTCATATTCTTCCTGATATCCAACGTACGTTTTGTCTTTACATAAAGTATCCATTTTAACCATAAATTCTCTATCAAAACACTTTCCCATCACAATTTGTTCCGACCAATTCTCCGAGATTTCGTTATCAATTTTTTCATTCATCAAAACGTCGTCACTTTTCAAAGACAGAAAGACGCCCGGTGCGTTTCGTGCCATCAATCTTATCATTTCACTTTCGACGACGGAACGAACGGCGTTATATCTTCTGAAATTTTCGTGTTCTTTTTTGTTGTTACTGATAATTTGAATTTTCCGCGTCTCCCAGTCGACGCTTTTGATCACGGCGATGTACTCCTCCTTCTGTTTTTCCTTTGGTAGGTCGCATTCAATAAATATAACGCCTTGACTTTCTGGCTTTGGTTCTCCGGTGTAATACACAAATTCGCAAACGTCTCTTCTGTGTCTTCCCACAAAGGCATTTCCTTCTTTCTTGAATACCACATTCAGTGTTTTCTCATAAACACCATCGCCTCTTAAATTGCTTTCATTGAGCTCATCCTCGACGACTCGGATATAAATCCGACGCTTCACTTTACTCGCGACGTTCTGACTTAACGTATTGATGAAGGAAGAGTCCTTCATGACGAAGAGTTGTGGGGCTTTTAAAAACTGAGAACTGAACAGAGTTGTCTTCCAGTCGTTTTTATAATTCAAGTCTTTGGTGTTCTTTTGTTTCTCTAAGAGTTTTGTATGGAGTTCCGTGATTCTTTGAGTCATATTAAGTTGCAACAGATTGGTATTTTCTGCAGTCTCATTTTGTTCATTTTGTGTAATAAAAGTAGTCACGGATTGCGGGTCTTTCACTGTGTTTTGTAAATATGTAATTTGTGGCACGGAAAATTCCAAATCAGTGATGTGCGTGCTCTATTCTTGATTCAAAAAAATACACATCTTTCCCATCTCATGCGAGAGATCACTACTAACTCCTTGGATTACTTGAGTCATTAAACGACTCGGTCTTTTCCCTCCAAACCGTCGTTTTGTTGAGTTCATTTGCTTCAAATTCATTTCCACTCAATTTATTAAGCCCATTGTATTTATCATTGAATTGAATATCAGTGTTTGTTTTGCTTGCCAAAAGCATATCCTTTTCATCAAGTAAATTGTAGTACATTCCTTTTTGTGGATGGGAGAAGAAAAAGTAGTAAAACGACGTGATAAACTTCAAATTGTTTTTGACAAGAGCGGTGTCGTTATTTGAAAGATACATCAATAGGTCGATAATTTCTGGGAACAATTCGTCGGTGATATTTTTGTCAAAGACCGAAAACTCAACAAGTTTTTCTATAAAGCAATGAATGACTTCGCTACTAGAACATCGAATCATTCCTTTAATAATCTTTATTAACGTTTCTACTATACTTTTGATATGCTTTTCTGGGTGTGAAAATCTATGGAGTATTTGATAAAACTCTTCAAAAACACGATATAACCCCACAAATTCTTCGGAGTTGTATTTTTGGAACATCCACTTTGCAGATTTCTTGACAGTTCCTTCAAAGCTAATCAAATAACTTTCCAACAACGTTGGGTCTGGCCACGTCTTTCCAAAGACTCCAATAAAGTCGGCGACTGTTTCAAAATAGATCGCGCAGTTATTTTTCCCGAAGAATCCCAGTTGTTCTATCGTAGTAAAAATAGCCAAATGCAAATAGAGCAACTCCTCCAAATTGAATAACTTCTCGACTCTCCCAAAACACGCAAACAAAATTGGGAAATAGTACCTTAAACTATTCATTGTTGATATAATAACCATAAGTGGTATTTTGTCCTTAGCGGTATCAAAGACGGAAGTCAATTGGAACATTGTGTATACCAATTCCTTATACACCAAAATCAATTCAGTTATATGTGTTTGGAGCAGTCTGTCCAAGGACCCCATAGTGCAGACCAAAATATCAACGCATTCCGATTTAAAGCAATGTTTAAAAAATAGAATCATTCGACTTAAAAGAAAGTCATCACCTGCAATTTCCCCACTTCGTTTTTCAAAGTAATTGGTGACATTAATAATAGTAAAGTTTATAGAATCTTGATGCTTCTTATGGTTATATAACTTGATGATATTAAAGAAAGTATTGATATAGAGTTTATAGATAAGTCGAGAACTCATTTCCCTTTCTAACGCTTGTGCCATATTCTCTCCAAATACTTTGACCAATTCCAAGAGCCCATCGACTTCCAAATTTGTCACGTCAAAGAGCTGCAAATTCATCACCCAAAGTCTTCGAACGTGTTTCTCGTCGAGCATTAACCCACCCATTGAGCAATCATCAGAGAATGGGACGATGAATGGGATCTTATCAAATTTCTTATAGACCTTCAGATATTCATTTTGCAGTTTTGTGTGATACGCCAAAAATGCAGTTCGAAATTCGGAGAGGGCAATCCACTTCCCTGCAATGCGAGTGAACAGCCCCAGTGTTCTTTGATATTCTTCTGTTTGCTTGCATGACACCATTACCGTTAAAAACGTCTCAGACAAGATTTTGAGGCATTGATGATCGACGGGGTATGTCATTCTGACGATCGCGTGGATGATCATCATGTGGAGCTTAAACATGTGATACAGAAACATTTCGGAGTCTTCTTGTAAGCTTTTTGTTTTATATTCCGTCGTCGTAATTTTTCTTAAAAGTAATGAAATTCGATTTAAAATAGAACATCGCGTGTTTTGATCGTAAATGTCGGTCGCTCGTGCAAAAGGCATTGATAATTGGTTCGTCATAGTTATCAAAAATTCCGCTGTTAAAAAACTCGGACGTGGACTTTGAGTTAACCACTTTTCATAGATCTCAACACAGGCCATTACCCGCCTTTCGCTCGCTGTTGAAATACCATCATGTAAACACGCTCCTATGATTGACAACGTGAAATTAAATCGGTCTCGAAATGGTGTTAAAATGCGGCTTTGTTCCATGAAGAAATTTGGATTCGCTTGAAGGGAAAAGAGAATTTCTGTAATAATTTTGTTCCGTGTTTCCTTTGGATATTGTAACAACCCATCGTCCTCAAAATTGTTCGGAACTACTTTAATATCAACACAATCAATTATCATTACTATCTTTTGTGGTTTTTAAATCAAGTTCTTATACCTGACTAAAATCATTTATTTTTCAGTTCTTTTTCGATTTCGTCTTTTAAAGGAATTTTCCGTATTGTATTATATATTTATTATAAATATATCATATTTTATGATACATTTTTGTATAAAAATCAAAAATAATTCTAATTGAATTATTTATTGAAAATTCAAAACATATTTTTAATCAATAATTAATTAATTAATTAATTATAATTATTATTAGTGATATATTCATATTTAATAAATTATAATTATTTCAAACTAAAATTTATTAATAAATAATATAGTTTTATTTATAAATGGATATTTTCATTCACATAAATAAAATAAAGTGGATGAAAACGTCAAAGTAGAACTAAAAAAAATAAAAAGTGATTTAATACGGTACAATAAAGAATCCGCAATAAATCGAGCTTTCCTTTACATTTGGTCGTAAAGTGATTTGCAAGACTTTACCTTTTCTTGCGACAAGTACTTCAATTCCTCCTCCTAAATATGATTGTGTTATTTGTCCTATTTTATTCAATGGCTTTTCATCTTCGACGTATTTATATCCGCCATATTGTATTATCACATCACCCTCTTCGAATCCACACTTTTCTGCTGGTGAATTTGGATCGATCTTTTGTACTATAGCGAGTGGAGTCATTTCAATGTTTCTATTTTCTCTCTCTTTATTCTTAGATGCCTCATGCATTCCAAAAAGTGTGCTTTCCATTCTTTGCATGAGTTCCTTGTAATCCGTTTCAAGGCAGTTGTATTCGTGTCGTATCTTTCTTAACGCCATGATCATGTCTGAATTAGGATTTGGATATCCTTCCTCGTCCACCTCTTTGAAATTTTTGATTGCTGGGGTGTTTAAATATCGGGTTAATTCATCAAGCCGTTTTTCCATCCTCTGCTGCTCTTTTTGCATCTCAAGTAATGACTCCATCTCTGAGTTTTCTAGTTTCTTGAATTTAAACTATTAATTTATAATAAACATCTTATTTACATCACTTCACATTCTTCACTAGAAATGCATGCTTCAAACAATTCTCCAAGCTCATCCGCATCGACGGCTCTTTCACTATCAACTTTCTGATAAAGTCTTTGGCGATATAAGACACATACACGGGGAAACTGATTAACATGGGATTGACTTGTTGTTTGTTGACAAAGTCTATTGAACCAAAGGGAGTGTACCCAGTCAACAGTTCAAACGTAAGAACCCCTAAACTCCATAAATCAACGGCCTTATCGTACGTCTTGTTCTCAATTAATTCCGGACTTAAATAGTCGGGTGTACCGCAACACGTCTTCCTCTTACAATCACTCCGCACAGACCATCCAAAGTCAGATAACTTCACGTCTCCATTCATGTCAAGTAAAATATTCTCCGGCTTGAGGTCTCGGTGAATGCACTTTCTCTGGTGAATGTGAATCAGAGCATCCGTCGTTTGTTTCACGTATTTCGCCGCTTCTGGTTCGGAAAACCGAATCTGTTTTTGCAGTAATTTGTATAACTCCCCTCCCTTACAAAATTCCATCACTAAAAAATACCGCGTTTCGTCGTCGAAAAAAGCAAATAACTTCACTACATTGTGATGATTAAAATGTGACATCAACTCAACCTCGCGCTTTAACTGAATCGTCATGTTGTAACGCTCAATTTTCCTCTTGTGGAGGACTTTAATTGCACACACATAGTTGCTTGTTCTTAATTCTTTTGTCATCAACTTTATAACAAAATTTGGTAAACACTTTAATAAGTGAAGGCATTTACTTAATAAACAAGTCATAATGTGTAAAGTTAATAATAAAATAAAGAAGTAAAGAATAAACTTTAGTTTGTACTTGGCAAGATATACTGTGCCAAACCTCCCTTCACCTAGAGGTTGACCGATCGAAAACATTTTCAAGTTGTATTTGGAACAAACGGTCGGCCTGAATGGTTGATATAACAGGTCGGAGCTGAACACATGTAACAGAGAAAATCTGATGACACGGAATGGAAGTTTTGGCTTCATATCTGCGTCGTACTGTTTTATCGTCTGTAACATTGTGTGGTGAATTTGATTTGGCTTAATGCTCATTTAACTGTAATTAAAAGTTTTTTAATAATAAATATATTATATCCAATAAAAATGAATTAAAAACAATGTTAATATTTCATGTAAGTTAACACACTTTTATTTCACTTTTTAATAATAACTTTTTTGTTACAATTTCATGACATGGACAGATATTAATAAACGTTTTTTTCAATAAAACAAGAACTTTAAAAATTCGAAAGGAAAAAGAGATGGAGGGTATAATGAAGAAAAAAATCAACGATTTGGGTATAACAAACGAGCTTGAGGATATTAAAATCACCGAAGATACTGTCCACATTTTAAAGGACATCTACGACTATGTCATTCAGTCTGACACTGAAGCATCAGTGTTCCGATTTTTTTTGCTGAACAACACTTTCAACAAAGCATTTATTCCTCTTCTCAAGACGTTGACATCCAAATCACTGATTAATACATCTAAAGAATCAGTGAAATTGATTCTTAAAATGATGCTCAGGTATTTGGAGGCGTGTGGGGTTCTTACTGCGTCCTCACAAACGATATATTCCTCTGGAAAGCCCATCCTTAACTATGACCTCTTTCCGCTCTTCTCAATCATTTTATCATCTGAGATCGGGAAAGTCGGAACGGAAAATCCAACTCGAAATTCAGAGCTTTCTCTTCAGATCTGCGAATTAATCATCACCAAAACAACCCCGAAAATTGCTGATGTGTTGATTCCGTCCAACATTTTTGAGATTTGCGGGATTGTATTTGGCGGAATGGAAAATCTGAGTGAAAATTTGGTGACATCAGCAATTTCCCTTGTCATCTCTTCGTGTTACCTTTGTTTTGATTCATTTGAGACGTTCCAGATGCAATCTCGCACGGAAGAAAAAGCTTCGAAACTTCAAAATCTTCTCGCAGCCGAAACGAAAAGAGAGAAGATGAGAGATTCTCGTCGTTCAAAGCGTTCCGTCGTGTTCTCAGTTGGTGGAACGGGGACGAACAAAGTGCCCAATGTTTCCGTTTCTGTCTTTCGGCTCAGTATTGGGGAGAAAGTGTACTTTGCAAAGACTCTTCGCCCGGGGCGGTGTGACGGGTGTGACAAAGTAGCTGAAGTGATCTCTAAAATCGTAACTTCAAACTATCAGACGCTAGTGACGTACATCAAACGCACCACCGACACCGAGATGCGTCAGAAGTGTTTTGTGGTAGTTGGACTTCTGTTAAAAGCAGTAGACTTTGATTTTTCGGAGATCGTTGCTGTTGACTTCTTGATGAATTTAATTGACACCGGACTGTTTTGGTACACGAAGACGGAGAAGAAGATTGTCGATTACTTAACGACGCGGATAGTTGTGTGGACTATCAATCAGGTATTAGACAAGATAGGGAAGATAGAGGAGACGTCCGCCTTACAACTTGAGACGTCGTCGATTGATCCGAATGAGTTTTTTGAAGACTTCATTAAATGCGGGCTGCTCGACTTTTACGTGAAAATTGTCCAAAATTTTATTCCCGACCGCATGCCGAATGACTTGCTATTACAAGTGCTCATTGGGATGTACAAGTGTGGAGTTCTGTGTGAGAAGATGAAATTGATGAACGAGAATGGGCAACGGGTGTATGACGAATTTCTGAAGACGTTTTGTACGGAAAGGAGTTGTACAGTAGTGATCTATATCGTTGGATGTCTTTACGTTGACAAATTTGGGGAGGGGAGTGCGGTGAAGACGGTGCTAGACATTCTCACGAGAATGGAAGGAGAGAGTGCGGCCGGATTTCTCTATCGTGTGCCGTTGCTCTTAGAACTTGTCAAAATCGTGAGAGAGAAGAACGTGATGGATCAAAATGAACATGCGCAAGCGTTCTATATGTTTAGTGAGAGGATGATTAAGAAGTTCAATGACGACATTGTGATCGACAAAACACTGCTGATCAATTCCATCTTCCCGTCGTACAGAGATTTGATGAATGTCGCACATCTCCCACGACCAAAACGAACGAGAAAAGGGAAGACGGAAGATGAACCGAGTCAAAAAGTGTCTGAAGAATATAATGAAAGTACACAGAGAGAAGGAGAGATTCAAACTGATATGGAGAATATCGTGAAAACAAAGGGGGAAGAGAAAGTGACGAAAAAGAAAAGAAAATTGGTTGAAATAGTCGAGGAAGAGCCGGAGAATTTGGAGGACATTTTTAACGACGATTTTGATTTGGATGTCCCGACGTTTCAACGTGAAGAGAAAGAACATCGGAAAGAAGAAGAAGACAAAGAAGGTGAAGACAACGAATTTGTTGAGAAAAGACCAGTGGAGTGATTGATTGTTTGAAGGGATCACCATGTTTGTTAGTTCAAAATTCAAAGAGTATTACTGTGATTTTCTTATTGAAAGTGAAGAGCAAGAAGGTCATGTTAGTGGTCTTTACAGAGACTTAAAAACTCTGTTTCAAGTCTGTTCACATCAAGATGACGGAGAAGTTCATTGACAGCTTCTGTAATTTCAGTGCTGAGTTGGTTGCGCCGTTCGGTATATCTGTCATGAGACAAAAGCTGTTTGATGATTTCGGATTTGCCACGTTTCTGTTGCTCGATGTGACGCTGAATGAGCCATTTGAGTAATGAGATCATCTCCTTCGTTTTGGTCTCTTGTAATGTCTTTTTAGCCGTCTTTTCAAGGTCTTTGTCTCCAAGGCGCTTCTCTAGTGTTTTTCGGCGTCGTCTTAATGTCTCGTTCTCTTTTGCAGCCTCTGCCTCACTCGAGTCTTCGTCGTTTTCTTTCTCATTCATTGTGAATTAACTAGTTGAAGCAAAACATACCATTGTAAGAACTATTATTATCAACTGGTATAGTATTTGGAATTATTAATCTTAATAATGAATTAGTATATTTTTATTATATATATCATTTCGTCATTCATTGTTGAACAAACAGTTGTCTACAAATATTGATTCACAGTTCATTGAAAACCAAAACATGTTAAAACCACTTTAAAAATTAAACCAAAAGCACTTGACTGAATACAAGAAACAATCAATAATAAGGCGAGGAAAAACCCATTTGGTTGGGTACGTATGGGAACCTCGGTCTGTATGACCCAGGCATGTACATGGTTTCGGTCTCATACGCCGAGAATATCCGACTTCGTTCTGGTTGATAATTTGGTATTTGACGCGGCATGATGACCTCAGGCCGTACGTATACCCTCCCACCCATTTGGTTTGGACTGTTGTAGTTATTTGGCTTAGGGTTGATGTTTGGAACATTACCCATGGGATTGGGGTAAGTCCTCCACTCGGTGTTTTGGGCCACGTCGCACATTTTTAAATCAGGGATAGGTTTAATTTTGAGTAGCATCATCATATCCTGAATTGTATCGCCATTTAACGCAATGGAATCGCACAACTCGAATCCATTTTGTTGATCCAAACAATTTTTCGCTGTGGTCTCCGTACTTTCCGTCTTACCTTTGTTTCGGTCTTCAAATAGGGTTTTGAGCATCGAATACTTACTGATCGTTTTGATTGGCACATAGCCCCTTTCAAACCTCTTTGGTATAACATACTCGCACTCTGCGACCAACTTTTTCTTCTGTTCTGCAAGTTCCTGTATCCAATTTTCAGCGATGTTTTGTTTTTGATAGTCCTTTGCTGCACCGACATACGTTGCCTCGACCTTCGATCTATTCAAGGGAATTACAAGATTATTTTCTTCGCATATCTTGACGTGCATTACGATCCCGTCGCTTTCTCCAATCATTTTCTTCAATGCAAGGTTTTTCATCTCGTCGACGCTGCTTGGGAGGAAGTTGATTAGCTTTGTTGACACGGGAAGGATGTCATCTTCCTCCACTACTCCACTTTTGTTGATTCTTTCTGGTATTATTTCCACATTTACGTTCTTTTGTTCCGGCGTTATCTCAATCTCATCTCCTTTAATCACGTTGTCAATCTCATTCGTGATTTTTTCAGTCTTTTCCAGTGGTTCAATTTTCTCTTTTTTCTTCTGTAATTTGACTTTCCTCTCAGGTTTTTCCTTTTTTGGCTTCTTTTTTTCTTTTTCAATCGAAACGCTTTTTTTCGTTTTGCTGATGTCACCAAACCTCAGAGGAAACTCTGGCTTTGTCGGCGGGTTGAACAAAGGTGCACCGTTTTCAAGTGAGACCTCCGCGCTTGTACGTTTGCGTGAAATGTCGGTGTGGTCTATGAGGGATGGAAGGCCGCCCCTGACGGGTGATTTTTTTATAGGGTCTAAACTAATAGGGGGTAAAATGTCCTCAGTTTTGGTCGATGCCTCGGTCGGTTTTGGGTGAAAATTAAAAGTCGGAAAAACAGAATTTATATTTTCACTGGTCATTTTGTCGTTGTGGTGTTCTGAGTTTTTACAGTTCAATATTACTTCGAATTTTTCACTTTTTATTAGGGATATTATTTTGCTCGATTTTAATGTAAAATTGCGGGAGATTAGGAGGTTTATTCATCGTTGGATTTGTTTTTTTACAATTCGGGTTTATGGGAATTATAATATAGTTTTTTTAACTATGCAAATAAAATACAGGTAAAAAACAATACCATATTTTTATAATTAAATTTACTATATATACCATGTTATTTGTTTTAATTCATTATTAGTTAAATGAAAAACTATACAACCCTAATTATTTGAACACTTTTCAATATTAAATTACAATTAATATAACTAATAAAAGAATGAATTATTTTTTATTTTTAGAATAAAAATTGTATAGTTTAAGAAGATGTAATTATTTTATTAAATGTTTAGTATACCAACTATTTAATAAAAAAACTATTAAACTTTATACTATACTAAATTTCATAAACTATATATTAATAGCAATTTATAGTAAAAAATAATTAAAAGTGTCGACTTATTGTTAATCTATTGTGAAACCATTCAAATTGAATCACATATTCTGTTTGGGATAATTTGTGTTTACCCATTCAATTGCTTTTGCGACGCCCCCGTGGTCCACGTCATCAGTGACATAGTCAGCTTTCTTTTTGACTTCTTCGAACGCGTTTCCCATAGCCACTGCGACCCCCTTTTTCTTTTGAACGAAGTCGAATGCTTGCAAATCGTTTTCGGAGTCTCCGATGTAGACCAAGAAGTCTCCGAGGAGTTTTTTGTCGTCGAGTTCTTTGAGTGAATTTCCTTTGTTGACGTTTTTGCTTACAATTTCGATGATTGTTTCCCCGCTATTTTTCACAACGAGTTTGTCTCCGACGTTTTTTTTGAGGATTTCTATCCAGCCGTCTTTTTGTTCTTTTGTTTTTGCATAGACTGTGAGTTCCACAAATTCGCTGTTTTTGCGTCGTTGAAATGTTTTCGCATCGTCGAAATATTCTGTGAATTTTCCATTGGAAACTTCAGACGAAATGACATAGCCATTCATCTTCTCAGTGTTGACCACTTGAAGGATGGCTGCTGACTGCTCGGAATCCATATATTTGTGTGCATACAAGACATCCCCTTTTACACTCAGTCCACCATTCGTTGAAACTAATATATCGTCGTGGTTGATAGATTCTAAAATATGTCGTGTTTCATATATAGAACGACCAGTACATATTATTACGCGGTTCCCTTTCTTCTTCTCTTCTTGTATGGCTGCTAAGTCAATGGGAGCTACGGCGTCACGACTTTGTGAGGCCAAAGTGCCATCGACGTCGATGATGAATGTTTTCATCAAGAATAATTCCAAGTTCATACTATTCCAGTCATTAAATCGTAACACGAATGCGTTGTATTTATATTCAATTCAATCATTACAATTACTATATTATTATTATATTTTTATTATTATAATACTATATCTTTTTTTTTCTTATTTAATTGTTTTTTTGTTTTACCAGTCTTCTGTTCTTATTTTGTTCATATTAAGTTGGGTTAGTTTTTTAAGATGAAATGAATATGTTTTTTAATGACTTGTTGTTAGATGGTGAGAAGAATAAGTATTTTTTTTACTAATTTGTATGCAATAATAATTCTTTTAACAGTCTGTTGTTGAAACAAATTGTTACTTTAAACATGTCCAATTTAATTAAATCTAGTTAATTGATAATATTTATACTATTTTTAATACTTGATAAAGCAGGGCTATCAAGGAATTTTTAATCTGGAAGTTAAGAATCAAGAAAAAAATCGGCATTTGAATAACATTTTTTTTAGAAAAATGTTTATTAAAAAAAGGAAAAACATTTTAAAGGAAATTAATTTAAAAATAATTAAATTAATAGTAAATTAATAGTATTAAATCATTGTTTGGTTGGCTCTTCAATGGTCTGAAACAAGTTCCATTCGAGACACACTGTTTGTCGCCAACTTCAGAATTAACCTTGTGTTAACCGTGTCCACCTTCATATTGGATTTTCTTGAATATTTGAAATGAGAAAATACAGATTCGACGCAGGAAGATGTGGGGATGAGACATAACATAATTTTGACCAATTGGGATATAATAGGAAAATCGACTTTGTCAAATATCTGTATGGCTTCCAATAACGTGAAATTTTTCTTCTCCTGTTTAGTGAACGCCTCTTTCAATGTTTTTTGATTTTCCCAAACCAGATTTTGGAGTACACAAAGCTCTTCATTCAACTGGTCAAATGAGGTCTTGGGAAGCAGTATGTTGTCATAAAGGAATTTCCCTGGAAATAGAAAGGATTCCAAAAGCGGTTCGATATTTTGAAATTCATCCAATTCTTCTTTGACTTCTTCCAACTCTTCGATTTTTGATCCAGGCTTTACAGTGGTCCAATTGCAGAACCGGAGCTCCAATGCTCTTAGATAACTTCCCAAGACACGTTCACAACTATTTATAATAATTGGGGAATCAAAATAAAGATATTTGCAAGCCGATTTGAATGGTAAAATATCCCCCCTTTCGCACAATTCCTTCTTTTTTCTCAGGTCATCTAAGTATGTATCAATTTTATTTACTTCATCAACAAATAAGCCAAACTTCTCTTGAAGAGCATCAAAAGGGCACTTAGCCTCAGTGAGTAAGTCGAAGAAAAAACCCAGGAATGCCAGGAAGGCCGGATCTCTTATTTTAAAAGATTTCCTTTCCTTATTCATGAAGAAGTAGAAGTCGTATGTAGTTGTGTCCTGTGAGTGGTTCATTTTTTCCTTTCTCCTCTTATTTTCTTGTTGTTTCTTCTTCTCTTTACTTTCATTGTGGTGCTTGACAAGGGTTGCGACAATTTCATTTTCAAGTTCCAGTTCCTTCACAAAAATTTCGATCTTTTCAAGATTTTCAAAGCAAAATTTTACCAAAAGTTGATAATAAAACCACCTGGTGTTTGAAAGTGTTGGAATCGCCGCGACATCCATTTTCTTTCTTCCCCAAAATGCCTTCCAAGCAGTTATTATGATATCAGAGCAAAGCCACTTTAAAAAACACAGAAAAACTTCGGCGTCATCTGTTGCCCACATAAATCCTTCCGCGACATTCAATCGATGACACATACAATACACAGTGAAAAACGGGAATGTGACTAAATCAAATGGAAGATGATAATCACTATTCTTTTGTTTTTATCCCTTTCTCTTTGAATGATGTTCAAAAGCTTTGCGTCACACACCAACTTTGAAAAGCCTCCCTCTTTCCCAATCATTGAACTGGCCCCATCTGTTGTTGAAAAAACCAGTTTGAGCAATGGAGCATTGAAAGACTTAAGAACTTCAAGTAGCCATTTTTCATGTTTACTGCAGAGCACTTCTCAAAAAATTCAGCCACAATCAGAGTCTTTTGGACTATTGAGTTGTCTGAGAACGCAAGTCTACAAACAAGAGCCAAAATTTCACTACCATTTTTTTGCCGTATCAAAGGCAACACCAAAGCAGACACACTCATCAAATTGGCGTTTTGTTATTTCAGTTTCATTGCTACTCAACCGTTGAAGAATATTGAGACAATGAGAATGACTTATATGGATGCTTTTCCAAATATTATCAAACTCGTCGCAGAATAATGTCCCAAATGAACCCACAAGCTGTTCCACCAGTTTACATTGTGATTGACTAAAAACACCTTTATTTTCCGCAATAGCAGCAATTGAAGAAAAAATGTAACTCTTTTCGGCTAAGTTATCATTTTTTTTCCAGTTGTTCCAGTCTTCGAGCATATTTCTGATTTCATTTCCTTTGCTATTACTATGTAATCCCCATTTGGGGCTTTAGACTTCTCATAAACTTCCTTTTCAATCGTTTGTCTTATATTGTCCGAGCACTCCATCATTATTTCTCCTTCTATTTTTTCATCTTCCATTTCACTACAATTATTGTGTTCACTGTTCGTTGTCATGTCTTCATCCACAGGTGTTTCACGGTTCATTTCCCCAATCACTGTATTGTCATCTTCCATTTCATTTTCAACGTCAAAATCAAGTTGCTTCTTGCTTCCTTTCTTTGGTCTTTGATGGCGAGGTTCTTCTATATACTTTTCTGCAGCACTTTGAGCCTCTTTTATATATTGAGTCTTTCTTCTTTTCAAATCCTCCTGCATTAAATTAAATTTTTGTACTGAGTATTTAGGACATTTTAAATAATGAGTTGTATTACATTGATCCAAAAAACACCTGGAACAAAACGGCCAATAGTAAATCGTTTTCCTCGACTTGAAGTACACTGGGATTGTTGCATGTTTATTGATGTTCTTTGTTATATTTTTTTCTCGTCTTTTCATTACATCTCTTGTTTTCTTG